ATGGCGGACACTAGTGATATAATAAGAGAGTTCACGACAGATGTATCGTTATACGAGAAAGGTAGACCGGAATATTCAAAAGAGTCCGTCGAGTTTCTTCTCAGTTGTGTTGGTGCCCTGCCGTCAGAAAACAATGAGGCTACAAAACTGCTCGAGATCGCAGCGGGAACGGGCAAATTTACTCGAGTGATGGCCGAAATATTGACGGAAAAGAAAGCGAATGTGAAAGTAATTGCCAGTGACTCTCAAGAAGCAATGTGCGACATGTTTCGACGTTCCGTTCCCAGAATTGAAGTACTTCGTTTCCCTGCAGAAAATATAGGTAAGAAAGGCTTAGTTCCCTGGGTAAAGCAAGGCGGGACACCTCTAGAGTGGGCTTATGAGGGGGTAGCAATCTTCCAGTATGCAGAGTACCAGGCCTGGAAAGTATGGCAGTGCACACACGAGCCTTCAGTTTTAAAAAAGCTTATTGCGCACACCAAAATCATAGCATTGCACGCGGCAGCGTTGGCCTAAGAGATTTGCACCTGACTTACAGGGGCGTAGCCATGATATTTTTTGCCAAATCTATCCTACCCTTTCAGTTCTCCCACATCATTTCCACATCCCTTGCTCACACTGTTTGTCGCCCTTTTTTGGGGGAACTGAACGGTGAAGCATGAACATACTAATAACTAAGGGAGTCTGGTGGCATGCTTCCTCGGGAAAATTTGAAATTTTTAGGTCATCTAAAACAGCTAATGCGCCTAAGTATGGGCATGTACCCATATTCTGGGATGACAAATTGTATTGCACGCGGTGCACGCGGCTAAAATTGGCTCTGCATGCACAAGATTTTGTCAAGTTCTGCAATACTCTGCGTACCATTCATTGGAGTCTTATTTGAGTTGAGACTCGTTGCAGGCATAAATGTCAAATTTGGCAAGAACAAAATATATTTAGAAGACACTACATTCATTAGATTTTAAAAATAAAAGATTTTGAGCATGGCAACATGGATGATTTTAAAGAAGCCGCAAATTTTGAGGAGGTTCATGTAAAATTCAGTGATGTGATTTCCTTGTGAATTACCAATTACAATAAGCAACTCTCATTGTTTGTCTACATTGCCTGTGAAGTCAACAAAAAGCACCGCTGAGATCATGTGATATATATTAGGTGTTACTTTCCAACAAAATTGTAAATACAGTAGTCACGTGCACGCGAAGGTAATTAAGGCAAACAAGTCATTATTCGTATTAGGATCCTTACGTAAGGAAGGAAAGTCCCAGGAGCAAGTAGATCACCTTTTTAACGCAATAGTTTTACCAAATTTTTCTTCCGCTCTGCCGGTTTATGGTGCCTCAGATTCTGACCTTTCTGTAATACAGAATTTTTTAGACCGGTGTATGGAAAGAAAGTTTATGTCCAAGAATGTAAATATCAGGGACTTGCTAGAGAAGGCGGACAAGACACTCTACAAAAAAAGATCGAATGACCCCGAATGTCCGTTCTTCCAGTTTTTACCTCAGGAAAAGAACACAAGGTACAATCTTAGAAATACGTCAGTCTCTGTCCCTAGAATCTATACTGACAGGTTTAAGAACGTTTTTAGTAACAGAATAATTTTTAGATATGATATGTAAATAGTTTTTTGAGTTTATATTGTAACGTGGGATATGTGATTTTATCTTAAGAAATAAAGATTATTATTATTATTATTATTATCATCAAAGGGGAAAAAACTGAATTAATTTCCACTGCAATTTCTGGGCATTTTTCTCAGCTTGCCCTTGCCCTGTTTTCTTTAAAAGCTTATTATCTCCTCACCCAGCCCCTATAACTTGACTTGTCTTATATACTCCCTCAGTTTTTTGCAAGTTGGTGACTTAACATAAGAGAGGTCCTTTTAAGGGCGGGGGTGGGAGGGTTGTATACAGATCTCTTGTCTGGATTTCAAACCTTGCACGTCATGTATCACAAGGAAGCCTGAAGCCTCTCAGTTTTCACTTCGTGTAAATTGCAGTTGTCTTTTTTGCTGTCAGTTTTAATGTGCCTTTGAGTCATTTCTCACTATATCATCTGCTGTTTCAAGGCTATGTCACTCGTCAGATTTTACCTTCACCCTGCCCCAATGTCCACATATAAATTCTCCATACTGATCTTCATACATTTCTTTAAAGAATTAGTTGAGAGTTTCATAACAGATCAGAGCATTTTCTCTTTAGTGATCATTTTATTAACTCTCATAACATTTCTCTTGGCAACATGGATATTGTTAGGAGAAAATTGTTGTTGGTCACTATTAAGGCTTAAAGGGTTAACAAGGCCTGAACATGGCACGAGTCCAGGACTCTAGCACCACAAATTTTAACATGCAGCTACTTACCGGGCTTCTTTTATGTTTCAGCCTTTCCAGATGAAAGTTTTTCGGCAGTCATATGTGCTCAATCGTTTCACTGGTTTGCAAATGCAACGTCAGTTTCAGAAATCTCCCGTGTTCTTCAACCGGGAGGAAAGTATGGGATGATCTGGAACCACAGGGACTTTTCCGTCCCCTGGGTGCGTGCCATGCAAGGTATTATTGATCCGTTTGTCAAACAGAAGGATATGCCCGCTGATCCTAGAGAGCTTAAATGGATGGAAAGTCTAAATAATTCTGGAAAATTTACTTCAGTGGAAAGGAACACTGTGTTTAGAACATATCTGGAAGGGGATATGGATGCAATATTGTCTGTGGTTATGTGTATAAGTGCTATTAGCCAGAGCAGCAAGGAGAAGAGAGTTGAAGTTGAAGCTAAGATCAGAGACATCTTGACAAACCACCCTGACTTAAAAGGGACAAAAGTGTACAAGCTGCCTTACATCACCGATATTTGTTGGTGTACAAAGAAATAGCTATGCAATGATGAAATTTTTGTTTATATTTTTGAATGTCATGTTACAGGGAATGTCATGTTACAGGGCATTTTAAATACATTAAATCATTTTTAATGATCAAATTTAACAACATTATATTGCGTACATTGTTTGAGTGTCCCTAATTTAGTTGATAGAGGGTTAAAGAATAGCGAGATTTTGGATATGGATTTAACCCCCAAGGCCAGGCCATCATTCAGGGAGTTGACAAAAATCCAAGGAAGAAGGAAATACTGCTTTTGTTTTCAGAAAATGGTTTCACCTTCACTTGGACAGTTCTTTGTTCGTAACATGTATTTTTGATTTCCCTTTTTTCTGCAGTGAGAGACAAAATGCAATAGAAATGTTGATTTCATTTACTCCACCCCCATAACAACAAGAAAGCAATTCCTGCTAAGAATGATTTTATTTTTCTTTTTAAATGAAGAGCAAAAATACCACTATTTATACCAAAATACAACATCTGCAAAATAGGGCAAGGCATTTTACAAAAAATACTTCATCCTCTTACCACACAAATTCAATAAATATTTATTCTGGTGACACACAATCATATAATTTTTTAATTATGAAAATCTCCACATGGGAGTTAATATCATTTTTAGTCAACCAATAATTTTCTTACTTCCTGTGGTTTCCCAGCAAACTACTATCCACCATTTATATAAGCCCTACAGGAAGTATGGTTTTATGGAAGAGACCATGGAGTCATATGACAACATGAAGGGGAAAGTTTGTTTGCCACTGTCATTAACACTGTCTTATACAAGTTGATACAAGGTCTTATACAAGGCTGTACATGTGTATGCTATCTCAGTCATATTGCATGAAAACTATCTGCTAGCCATTGTTGGTGAGGATGATGCCATTCATTGAGCTGATCAGAACTGTCTACCTTTGCTTGCAATGGAGGCTCCTGTAGCTCTCCAGACTGAGCAGACTGAGCTCTCTCTACACTTAATAAGTGCATTAAAGAGGAACTCACAACTCCAGCTTCAACCAAAAGAAGCTACCATTCAGACCTTTTGACTTCCAACTATGCTTTTACAGTCCACGTCAAAATTTCTGAGTGGCTTGTTGAACAAAAAAGCTCCCCTGATGGTGCAAACCTTACATGGTTTACAACACCACAGTGTCCAAGGAAATCTTGAAAACTTCCCTCACTGTAATCCATAAGTTTCACAAGTCGCTCTAGAAGCATAACAAAACAAACAGTGTATGTTGTGTTAACTTTAAAAAATGAAATTCAGTGCTATAGAGAAAGAAATTATCGTATGCCTGGAAAAACATGAGCAATGTTTGTGTTGCTAACAATACAGTTATGGTCAAAAGGCTTCTAGTAGTAAGTGATGATAGCACACTTTTTACTTTGCACATTCTTTCTGTTTACAATCCTCTTTTTTTAAGTAGCTTACAACCCTTATTTCCAGTCATATCAAACATAAAAACATGACTGTCAACCACACTCGTCCCATACACTGTATTTCAAAGCACAGGTTGACAAGAAAGGACTAATTTTGCAAACTTAATTTTTGAATTTCTATGAGAATTAGTGATTATTTGAGAAGCTATATCAAACACTCCATTCAGTGTTTCACCTGATATCCACAAGGGCGGATCTAGGGGGAGGGTGCAGGGGGTGCGCACCCCCCACCCCCCTGAGATGACCTGCGGTTTTCTAAAACAACTTGTATTCTGCCAAAAAAAAACTATGTGGTTTATTGGTGTCGAGGTAGAGCAAGAGACGAGTGAACCCCCTCCTAAAAAAAATCCTGGATCTACTCCTGATCCAGACACGTTGAAGTTTCGGCTGCCTTGATGTCTGCGTATTGGATGATTCAATGCATCTCATACATCAATCACATTTTGAAATAAGTGAGGAGGTGGTTTACCTGCTGTTGCGATGGCAATGAGATGTCCTTTGGGTGATACATCCATAGATGTTGCCCACTGTGTCAATGCAGCCGTTCGCACAACCTAACATGTAGTCAAGATTAGTCACTATTTTCGACGAAGATTGAAAGAATAGGGACCTTAAGCAATGAAAACATTGACGTCGAAGACATCAAAAATGGCAACCAGAAGTTGATATTTTCTCTCTTTCAGCGATCTGTTGTGACAAATTAATACAGTGGAAGTTGAAACAAAGGTATTTAGATTTGTTGTGAGTCAGAAGTGTTCCATCAAGCGAGACATCGAACTTCTAGTTGCTATTCATCACATCTGGGACGTCAGCATTCTTCCAGCTTAAGCTCGCTTATGTTTGCAAGTGCTTTGGTTTAAAACATTTGGGGCTCATACAATAAACGAAAGTGAAATTGCAGGAATATTTCCATAAGGGTACAGAGAAGAAACTTTTTTGAGGACCTCATTTATTTACTCCTTACAAAACATTGATTTCTGAACAGAAAATAAGGTAGCAGCTGTGCTGCTATTCTTCCACTGTATCCTGTACCACAATCATCCAAAACAATAATAAAATCCCAGGAGTAATTTCCAGAAGGTGCTCCCAGACGCTGGAAAAACGTTTTTTAAAAATTCGGAAAGTAGTGCAAACCCTTGCATTGCTGCCTTGTGTGACTGGATCGTGTCTTTCCAACAATGTGTCAAGATGAAATTATTTAGATGCTAAGCATTTGCTTACCTGTAATGTATTTTTAGTTTTCCTTTTATTGCACTGCATGTAACTGACCGTTGTTGTTGGATTGTCTGCATTACAACTGTTTTTCTTAACTGCCTCACTGAAAACTGCCCCTTAAGGCTGCTGACCTTTAATTACTTCCCAGATGAAAAGATCACCAGTACATAAAACAACCTTCAATAAGGTAATCTTGGAATCAGAACACTATCTGTCCATCTGGGTTGTCTTACCTTTTTTTGAGAAAGACTATAAAACTGCACCACCTTCTGCATGCCATAGCCAGTGTACACAATGATGTCAGGGTCTGCTGGAGAGAACTGGGCCAGACTGGGTGGAAGTTTACTGTACTGAGCCTGTTGAACAAGCACCACCACCACCATGTTATTACACTCAGTTTTACAGTGGTTGACTTTAGTATACAGCCGAACCTCCACAAACGGCCACTTCTCTACAGTGGCCATTTTTTTGGCGAACATTCCATACATTCACCATTGTTTCAATCTCTCTACAACGGCCACCTCACAACAATGGCCGCTTTCTTCTGTCCCCAAGGTGGCCGTTGTTGTAGACAGGTTCAACTGTAGTGTTCTGACTGGTTTAATCGGTATGTATTTCCCACTAAAAGTGAATGGTACTTTCTGTCGTTCAGTCTCATACCTGAACCAAATGCCCTCATCAACAGTTGAATGTAGCCAAAAAGTAACAAGCTGCAGCCCAGGGAGGTATAAACAGTCCCCATGGGATGTAATTTTTGCCTTTTAAGCATGTTTCACATACTTCATTACCAAAACCTGAAGATTGATTTTGATGGATAATGAAGTAGCATATCTTGAAACACTGATAACATCTTTTTTTAGTTGAAAAAGCCTTCAGTAAGCTCACGTGCCGGATCTCCTCTTCTAAGAGCTTTTCCATCAGGTCCAATAGGTGGTGCAGGGAAGGTCAGCCAGTCCACCAGCTCACAGAAGTCTTTGGACCAATCGGCACTCCAGATGCTCACACGTCGATCAGCACTTGCAGCCAGCCACAGAAGTGGAGAGGATAGAGGGTAATGTTGATCCTAGCGAAGTGCACAGCAATTCTTACTTAAGATATCTTCTAGACTGAAGCCATGTTTTAATATGTAAAAAGTGAATACTAAGTTTTGTGTATTTATTTTGCACTACCATCAGGTATCTTAGCATGCTGTTTAGGAAATGATGTCAGTGAAATGCCTCACACAGCCAAACCTATATGAAGGGGTCACTTACTAGCTCGCTCTCCATCCCTTAACTTATCGTTTTCACGTCAATAAAGCCGTCACGCGGTATTATTAAGCAGTCAGTTGGCTAAGAATGATGGCTAAACATAGGTTTAACTGTTCATTTCTTTCAGTGCAGGCCATTAGACATCTGAGTGTGTGATTTTATACAAGAAATAAGTTAGCGCCAGCAACAACTGACACACTCGATTCCTTCAAAAGGTGCCCATAAAGATGTTTTGTAATAACTGCTGAGGATTCACTCCCTACCCACTGAGGGGTCCATTGTACCAAGGTATTCACAAAATGAGCAATAATTATACCAGTACCAAAAGGCCTGTTGATTATTCCTCATCCCTTTTGGACTTTCAAATACTCCATTCATCTTCCCAAGACTGGATGTTAAAAACCAAGAAGGATATTCACCAACACCTGCCACCTTCAAGCAATCCGACACAGCTACAGCTACTTACCTTGATTGAAGAGACATGAAGACATGTGATTGGAGCGCCCCTGTGGTCATTCATTAGCCTGATTGTGAGACCTGTTGAAGGGCTGCTTATAGCTAGCAAACCATCTTCTGCTCCACTAATTATAACTCTTCCTACATGTTAATACAAAGAGAGCAAAAAATGCTTCCATAAAAGTTCATCTATGTAGTAAAAGGGCTTTGGCAAGTAAATTAGATATCAGTGGGCAAGGTTAATTCTACCATCGCTATAATTATTTTCTGTTTCTACTCGTAACTCTTCTACATCTTTCTTAGGTAAAACTTGTTTTGGTTGATGACAAAAACTTTGGGTCGTGTCCTTACCATCAGCAGAGAATGAAATTGTAGTGATGGAAGCACCATGAGGCTGCATCTTCATGATCATCTCCACTTTTCCCAAATCAAATATTCTTATGGTGCCATCACTGTAGCCAGCCACACAGTGTGAAGGTTGAATGGCAGTCTCAGCAGGTGAAGGCTGAGGGTGGACAGTGGCTACTGTCTGTCCCTCATTTGTGATTGACTTGGTGGGAGTGGCTGCAGGAACTGGGCAAAAAGACACACAGTTACAGGTCTGAAAGAAAGCAAACATAGTTGGTTAATAAGCCATTAAATTCAGTAAACTTAATACTGGAAGACAAATTATACCATGTAAAAGTGCTACCAAAGTGGTTTTATTTTGACAGACATTATGTGAGAGAAGGGGATATGCAACAAAAAGTTTTTTTAGTTATTACCTGTTCAAGGACTTGAAATTGTAGATGCTCCAAGCCGTCTTTACTCCAGAGGTGTAAGACACCATCTGCACTAGATGTAGCAAAATATTGATCATCTGGACCACTGAACACCAGGTCACTAATCTGCATCATACACAAGCAAAAAGTGAGAGAGCGACCATGCAAAAACATCAGGCAGGGGGCCAAGGTTTGGATATATTTGTGGTTCAAATTCCATTCTTCAATGACTAAACAAAAACGAGGTGTTTATAATACAAAAATGGCAATTTTTTTTCTGAACTGCCTGACACATATTCAAGTTTGATGAACTCTGAACCAATTCCATACTTGTTAGTCTGGCCCTAGTTTTCCAAGAGGTAGATACATATAAAATTGTGCCATGAACTGCATGATGATTCAGCCATTGGATTGTGCTATCCATTATTTTAACTAAGACTTACACTTCTTTATTCCCACCCAACTTGCTCTGTTTGGATTCCTACGAAACTCCCCCGACCTGTACTTAATACAGACGGTTTACCTGTTGAGGTCCTGTAACTCGAAACCTAACACCTTCAGTTGTACCTGCACTCAAATACCCACTGTTTTTCAATATTAGGTTTATAGTCGATAGTAGGTAAATTCAATAGCCAACATTTGAGTATTTTGGTGGACATCTGTTTCTTTAACAGGGCATTCCTCACCTGCTTAGCATGCCCACTGACAAGTCTAATGCTGGTTCTTTCTTCCCAGTTGACATACCATAATGTACCTGATGACGTGCCAATGATACCCTAAAAATGACATCATTTTTTAAGTTTTTCATGAAACTCTTATTTCTTTCTTAAAAACAGAAACTCAGGATGACTTACGTTAGGCTAACCATATCTAACACTCACAGTTTCCAGCGCTTCATCAAAGGAAGCAGAGGTAATAGCTCCATCTAGAGTCATCTCATCTTCCATAACAAGGCCATTGCTGGACAATCTAAGACCATAACATTTTGACACAAAATGACGTGATGGTAAAGGAATAATCAAAGGTGAAAATTTACTTTCTATAAAATCTAATTGAAAACTACTGCAGCAGTAATTTCAGGCCTTTTAAGAGTTGTCAAGATAGAGCTGTGTAAATGGAACATGGCATATTGCTCATTTACAAAAACTCACATGACAATGCCTCAGGGTGAATTGAACTACACTAAGTCTTTTAGTCTGAATCGAGGGTAAAATCGGCAAAATAATTTTTAGGACAAACAGATTCACACTTAATAGAAATGAGGAAGTGTGTTTATCACAAAGGGAACACATTCAAAGAAATTGTTTTAAGAATACCTGGTGCTCTCCCCAGGAAGCCTCATTTCACTCACACCCACCACAGACCACAGACGGAGATTTCCTGAACTGCTCCCAGCTATAAGGGTACCTCCATGCCCCATTATTAGGTCTGCAAATTAATACAGTGAGCAAAGTTAATCAAATGCACTTATATATGATTAGAGAGAACGAATCTCTTTTCCAGACTGGAATAAGATGACCATTACTTCCTTGAAGAAGACTTTGGTGAGAGCTAATCAAATGACATGGTAGTCTCATGGCAAGATAGACTTGCACATGATGTGCATCCCTGCTAGGATAAGCAATGCCAAAAGCATCCTTTGAGCTGCTTAACCCTTTCACTCCAAATAATGGGCAACCAGAAATGAATTCAAAAGAAAGTTGAACTTTCTTGTTGTACAAATAAGTAGTGCTATGCAGAAGTTCTGCCAAGGAGGTTTTATTTGAATGGAAGCACCATGGATTTCATCAACAGATGTAAAAGTTATAGAGAAATTAATGACATTGTGTAGGAGTGGAAGGGTTTAAGGAAAACAACACAATTTCAGCTCAGTTAGGACAAAGGAAGATATTTTAAGTCTCCAATAAGCTTGGGTTTGAGATTGTCTTCCAGTATGTAAAGGGTTCTATTCTTGTCAGGGATATTTCCTTATCGCATGCTCAACATTAAGATCTATGATTTATCTTTAAATAACCCACTTTTTGTTCTCTATCAAAACAAATCCATGGACTACATAGCCACCCCTGACATCGGGCCATAAAAAGCTCAAGGGATAAGAAACCCCGTTTCTGTTAGAGACTGGATGTAACATTAAAGTGTCTGTTAAGTCCTTACCAATTTCTGTCGAATCTCCTTCCCAATGAATAAAGCACTTGTTTTGCCTTGTGTCCCAAGCTGAAAGCATCCCTTTATAGAGATAAAACGATATCGCTTGATGCACTTTTCACACAGATTTTTTGCAGCCTAATATATGTTAGTTAACAGAACTACACTGCTATGTTGGGGCTATGTGCTGGGAATGTCCAAGGCCAGTAAGTTCCTAGAGTGGCAATCCCTACACACAAGGCTGTCATTACGATGACTATGACTGGATTGCATTGAACTTTGACGTGCTTAAAATTTAATACAATAATTAGTCAATTACAATAATTATCCATGAATAACCTCACCTGCACTAGTACCAGCATACATAACACTGTCTCCTGCATACCATAATGAAGTAAAAGCGTGGTACTCATCTCTCTGTAAAAGATGTTATGATTTTTCACTAGTGGGAACCAAGAATGTTTGACATTATAGTATTTATTAAAGAAAAGAGGGAGAAAAGCAGATAAAACTACACAACTACAGAACACTGAAAAAACATTCTTGTCCTAGAAAAGAATTTGATGCAGAAATGGTGAAAGCAGGCTACAAATCACAATTATTACACAGCTCCACACAAAAATGACTAAAAGGACATTAGAACCCTCTCACTGGTACCTTCTTAGACTGCATAAGTTCCTCTGGGACCTCTGGTTCATGAACCTGAATGGTAATTAATTAGATTCATGTTATTTTAACCCTTTCACCACTATACCAAGTTATGGCACGATTATTTGCCAATCTGTAGATGAAATCCTATGGTGCTACCAATCAAATAAAAGCTCTTTGGCAGAACTTTTGCATGGGGACAACTGGTTTTATTTGACAATATTTTACAAAAGAGGGAACCAGAGACTCTACTCTGGTCATGTACAGATTTTTTACCTCAAACTGTCATCTACTAATACTTTGTCCCAATTTACACTTCATTAACAACAAGAATTGTCTAAAAGCACCACCAGTACAACTTGTCTTGACACATAATTCAAAAATTACTTCTATAGTTTTGTATGACTACATCACTGCCTTAAGAGCCTTTTGACTCATGTGGCCAGCAGCTTTACTGCTTAGATGCAAATTTATAAGAACAAAGAAAGTTTTTGCACTAGAAAAAGGTTCAACGCCCACCGGATTAGTTTGGGACATTTCATTGTTTTCATACAGCAATATGGCAGACATGATGTCATGAAAAAGCATCAATTTAAAGATCTATTGTATTCCCTCAACATACATGATCACACTTTAAGTCAAGACTTTATGGAGCTCTTAATTAGCAGGGAAGATGGCAATGGCAGCAAAACATCACAATAAAAATCAATGCAATATTTTTTTAATGTTCTTGCAATTATCATTCCAGTGCACTTAGAGGTTGTACAGAGTAGGTGAGACTTCCTGGGGGTGAATTCTTGGAGACCACACCCAAGTTTAAAAAGAGAAAAAATTGGTTTTGATGTGTTTATGTCATCCTTAAAACGTTGTGTCATGATATTTCTGTCTAAGTCATGCAGTAAAGACAAAGAAATGGGCCAAACAAGTGTGATGCATGTGCAGAGTTGTTGTTTAATCATTAAACCTATTGCTTTTCTGATGTTGCCAGTGCTTTGGCCATCATCGTTGCTACCACTCAATCTCCCTATTGTTCTGTATGCTACACACTACAATGGCAGAATCTTACATTAAGAGTCAGTTTTTCACCAGTTTCGTCCAGTAGCCAGAACAACACAGAACCATCTTGTCCCACTGAAGCAAACTCATTTGCAGTATAAGGATCCCACATGACATCATGCACAGGATGTCTTGCATATGAAGCAGTTAGAACAACAAGATCTCTGGTGCACCACACAACCACTGAACATTCCCTGTAATCACCCACAGATACGAGGAACCTGTCATCATGGGCATATGCAAGGCAGACAACCTCATGCTCATGGTGGGAAAGAACCTGAAGAAAAAAAACAATAAATAACACTTTGACTTCCAAAGATGCTCAGTCTTGGATAAAGCCTAAATCTTATTCTGTAAAACTTGAATGCTTCCATACAAGATTGGTGCCAGAGATGCACATTTTTAATTTTACTAGCCACAACACAGAATCTAAACTGGGGGGAGGGGGAGGGGGAGGGGAGGGCACCTCCACACCAAAATCCTCCAATAAAAACCTAAGGGGCACTCCCATGACAAAAGTGCAGGCTGTTAGCCAGGGATCATTGGAATGGTCATGCCAGTCTTGTGTGTTTTCATCTGAAGTTGCTGGTGGGAATTCAAGATCTCCTAACCTTAGAAGAGAGAAATACAGCAATAACTTAAGGGTTGTCCACTTGCCTTTCATCTAGGATGTTAAAATTATTTACCTTCTTGCACACCCCTTCTTGTATGTTCCACAAACAGATCTGACTGGAATTATTGTCACTGGGTCCTGAAGCTGAGGCCAGAAACAGGCCATCATGCTGTAAAGCTAGGGTAGAAATCTCTTCTGCATGCCCCATAAGGTGACGTTGAGTGCCAGAATGAAGGTCCTCTATTACCACAAGGCAGCCACTAGTATATGCAAACAGTCCTTAAAACAAACAAAACAGCACAGATAAATTCACAGATATAACCAACAAATATAACCAACTGACTCCCATGATTTTCCTTGAGTGCCACTTTGTTGCATTGCTTTTGTCTAGACAAATGCAACAAATGTTTGGCTTCTAGGTTTGGGTGGTGCACACATAAAAAACACTGGACATGAAGTTTAAATATTGTTTTGTTGTTATTTTTTATTCTCCCTATACTTTTGAGACTTTTTCCAATCTTCAAAGCCAGGTTATTACTATAAACAATGGATCGGATTGACACTTATTTTTTCCTTAAATTAAACTTGAGCTGTGGTAGCCTGCAAAAACAGCCGTTCCTCCTTGCTCGTGACCTCTGGGGATGTATCGTGAGGAGGAATGTCTGCAACTCAGCGATGGGAATTCCATACTCATGATGTAAATCAATGTTTACATAATAGTTCCAGTAGTCATGGGATGCCAAATGCAAATTTGTTCAATTTTACGTTTCTCCTGGTCAATTTTGGTTAAGTGTTGTGTTCATCTGCGAACAAGCTTCAGCAAAACTCAAATGCCTTTTCTAGAGAAGAGTATATTCCACAAAATAATATTGAATGTTTTGTTATTGATTCATCATGTTTGCATTTGACATTTGTAGCCTTTTGTCTGTCATTCGAAAACAAGAACTAAAACAATGTAAGTACTACGTCGTCTAATCAGCACTTATGACCGGATTCCAAACAGAGTGTCCCTTCAGTAAAGTTATTCTAAGGGGAGGGCATATATAGCCAAAGCTTCTCAAGACGATCATGAAGGGAAACTGTTCCAGAGCTATAGATTAGCTCCAGATTACTCAAGCTATCCATGGTATTAACCTGTGAGTTGTGAGTAACCTCTACCTTCTGATTGCAGTTGAAGGCTATGTTTACTTACACCACTGTAGTAGCTGTAAGTACCTGTATCATATTTCCAAATCATGTTCTTCCTTCCATTTCCATTGTACCCAAGAACAGATTTTAGCTGGAGACCTGCTTGCTTAGGTGGAGCTGTGTACCTGCGTTCAGCCAAGGAGGACATGTTATCATGCCTCTTGAAATGCTTGGTGACTGTCGGGGGAAGATGAATTTCCCCATTTGGGATTCTAGATTCAGTAGCTGCCGGGATATTGAAGTTGAGTCTCCTTGCAGGTGATTTAGTCTTGATGGGTGATTTCTGAACAAAACAATAAACAGCATACATTAACTGACACTAAAGAGGAGATGACTCTGAAAGAAAGAAAGAGTCCTGAATAGGACTGTTGTTGTTGACAGTGACTGACCTTTCAACAACCTGTGTGGTAGTCTTCTTCACTTTGACTCTGAAAATCACTACCGCACAAGTTGTCAAAACGTCAGTCGCTGTCAACAACAACAGTCCTATTCAGGAATACATTCACCTGAAAGATCATACTCAACCTACTTGTGAAATGACTATTGTTATCATTAGTATCCTCTTTGTGTTTTATACAATGCCTTCACATTGTTACTTACATGTTTGCTTTGGCCTTCTGGAATCTGCTCCTGCAGGATTTTCTTTGGAGAATAATATTCATGTCTTTCAGTCTGAGGCACTCCATCGTGTCTGGCATTGGGTACTTCTTCATTGTCCAGACCATTAGCAGGAATTGGACTTACATCAAACTGAGGAGGTTCATAAGCAGCAGGTACAGGAACATATTTTCTGGGAGTGACTGTGTGTGGCTGAGCATGCATAGGACTGTATGGTCTTTCAGGAGTAATTCTCACACTTTTATCTGTATGTAAAACAGAAAAAAATTGATAAACAAAGTTAATAGATAAATTCCAACTTAACTGAACTTTCCTCTAATGGAGGTACAACCCGCCGCCCGGTTAGCTCAGTTGGATAAGCGCCGGTCTGCCAAGTGAGAGGCTGCTGGTTCAAGTCCCGCTGGACCAACACTCAGGGTCTTGAAATAACTGAGAAGAAAGTGCTGCCTTTGTAAAGACACCTGCCAATGGTTAGACTTTCTAGTCTTCTTGGATATGGACGATAAACCATAGGCCCCATCTCACAACCCTTACATACATAAATTCTGTGGGACGTTAAAGAACCCACACACTGTTTGTAAAGAGTAGGGGACGTAGTCCCCTGTGTGTTGGTCTATCTCTCATGGGGGGAGGGACTGTTAAGGGCCCACAGTAATGCGCAGTAATGCTGTTGCGGTGACCCTGCCAATAATTGGGGAATCTAATAAAATAAAATATTGTCTGATGTAGAATACTGTATACCTGGTGCATCAGGAATATAGCTCTTCTGTGGTTCACGCCCCCTGAATATTGTAAAACAAAAAACAAAAAAATTATTCTTCAATTTGAAATCAAAATAAAAGCCCGCCTTTACTCAGTAATAAGTACTTAAATTACGTCATCTTTAGGGATGCATGCTCAAATGGTACCCAGGCATCATTTGGGGCTAGTAACTTTAATTTTCCCCCAAAGAGGATCAAGGTGCCTTTTAGAAATGGATACTTCCGGATTATTATTTTCCAAGATGTCAGTAATTACTATGATTGACATTTAATAGGCCCAATGACAAGGGTAAATTTTCTACACCAGCCTGTGAAAGTGAGAATTACCAAGGAAATAAAACATTTTCCTCAGTACTCAAATAAGTAAGTACGACCAAAGAGCTTTCTCTTTAGGACATGATTTTTATAATCCAATAAATTATTATTGACATACCCATTTATGTGAAAATGTTTCCCTCTTCCATGAAAATCCCACAAAAGGATGGCCTCTCCTACACTGACAAGACCAAGATAATCAGGGGTGAATGCAACCTGCTGTATATGGTCTGAATGTCCTATAAAAACCTATATTATAAAACAGAAAGTGCAGGATAGCTTTGAGTACAAAGACATTGATTTCACACTCATGACATGGTCAGTTGTATAATTTCTGCAGTATAAAGTAACTTCAAGGTAAATATTGCAGCCTGTTTTGTTTTCATATGTGAAACAAACTCAGGGAAAGGCACCCACTCTTGCTAGATCTGTGATAATATTTTACTGTAAAATCTAAAAGCCGCCCACCAACAGCCTTGGGCTTCCATAACCTGTACACAACTGAGTTTGAATCCAATCACATTTCTCTTTTTTCTTATTCCAGTACCTGAAAGTTGATATCCAGCCTCATGTGGTAATCCCAAATCTTGATAACTCTATCTCCAGCAGTGGCTAAATGCTTGCCGTCACGGCTGACATCTAAACTAGAACAACTACCGCGATGGATGTTGGACATCTAAGACAGGAGAAGTCTATCATTTAGCAGTAGAAAATTGTGATTCCCAAAATTAATTGTTTGCCAATAGGATATTCCAAAGATAAGAACATTGGAGTGTAATGCTAAGCAAATCAAGACGCTTACATGGCTGGAACTTAACTAAGGTTCGGCTGCATGAAGCACCCAAGAGTGCTGCTACTCCCCAATAGGAGAAATGCAGCCTTATAATAATAATAACAATCTTTTAATAGGATGCTCCATCACAAGAGTGGTTTACATAGAGGTCCTAATTACGAGATGTATATTATATAATACAATTAAAATATAAAAAGGTTAAGCTAAAATCGATATATATGATACAAAAAAAAAAAAAAAAATAAAAAAAAATAAATAAATAAATAATTCAAGCTAAAATCGAGTTACAGAAATAATTAAAACATACACACTACAAGTACTCAATTATAAAAAGCAGAAAAAAGACACTTCTTAAAAATTGGAAAACTTGCTGAGTTTCTTACAGTTCTCTCTAATTCATTAAAGTCTTTGAAACAGTGGTACCCATGAACGTTGTTTTCCCCAATTATATTTAATTTTGGGGAGCTTGATAGTATCGTTATTGCGCGTATTGTAGGAATGTATATCACTCTTTCTTACAATGTCCAAAGAATGATTAAGTTGGCCATTAATACACTTGTATGCATATATACATCGATGACATTTCCTACGTTCTTCAAGATTCAGCCATCTCAAGACAATCAATGCATCGGTGGATGAGGGTGAGGTGATCTATCTAATATCAACTTAGCTGCTTTGTTTTGGAGAATTTGCAATTCCTTCATAAGTGAGACATTGTCCTTGTCACCCCAGACTAAATCAGCATAATCAAAAATAGGTAGCACTAAGCTATTATAAAAAGTAACCGGGCATCATAAGGTAAATAATACTTAATCCTACGTAGAAGACCAAGGTTTTTATTAACCTTACATGAAATATACTCAATATGGTCGGACCATGTGAAAGTTGAAGACAACATAACTCCCAAATATTTAAAACTACTTACAGAATTTATATCAGTGTCAAAAATAGATAACGTGAAAGAGGAAATACCAACAAGTTTCCTATTACTGCCTATAATCATGGATTTCGTCTTAGTAAGATTTAAAGTTAACTTATTTCCATGTAACCACTGGGCAACTTTCAAGAGATCATCATTCAGTGCCTCTTCTAACAGGTGTGGCTCTTTAGCAAAGTAGTACAGGACCGTGTCATCAGCATACAAAGTCACCGCAATTCTTTATAACCAGCGGAAGGTCATTAATATAAACCAAGAAGAGAAGCGGTCCTAGAATGCTCCCCTGTGGCACCCCAAAGGTCATCGGGAGAGGGTCAGACACAGCATCGCTACAGGCAGTCCGCTGTTTACGATGATTCAGGTAAGACTTGAACCACTGTAGAGTGCTGGGCGAGACATCGATAGCCGACAATTTAGATAGCAAGATCGTATGGTCAACGGTATCGAATGCCTTGGTCAGATCTAGGAACACTGCACCGCACAGTTCTCCACTCTCCATATGCAATAGGACCTCAGGTGCAAAACTGGTGAGAGCCGATGTTGTAGACAGTTTGGGACGGAAGCCAAATTGTTTGCTTGAAAGGAGATTATTTGAATTCAGAAAGTCATAGAATTGGGAATGGACGACTTTTTCCAGAATTTTACTCATTGTTGGCAGAATAGAAATTGGGCGATAATTTGACGCATCTCTCCTATCTCCAGTTTTGAAAAGTGCAGCCACTTTCGAGCATTTCCATATTTCAGGAAAATTGCCAGTGCTGCTGCCCATTTATACACCTAAGTGAAGAGTGACAAAGTGGAGCAATGTCTTCTGCCTGAGAAATGGAATGGCTTGAACCTGGACTATGACAATCACATGTTTTAAACTGCTTGGCCACCACATCTTCAGATCTGTATGATACTGACATGTGCCCAGTAATAATGTAATAAAATTGTTACGACAGGGCTAGATGACTTCCTTCATACTGATAAAAAATAAAGCCTTAAGAACCAGGTCCCAGCATCCAATGCAGGTTTAATTTGTTGTTGTTGGCTCTCATCCTTGATTTAAGAGGTTTAATTTTTGCTGGGAACTCTGATTTTCTTCTGCCATTAAAGACTATCAACAGTTTCCACTGGCCAAAATTCATGAACACTTTGAGACTAATTCTTCAGAGCTCCAAAGTGTTCTATGGAAAACAAATTACATTTTATGATAAACAAATGAAAACCCAAAGTATGGTTGTTCCAGTTTGAACAAAAACCCAGTCTTAGCTTAACTGTAAGTATAAGTAGAGCCAAAATAGCTGCACATGAGACAAAAATGTAAAATAAATGTAATGGCAGTTTACCAGTGATTATTAGAAATTACAAACCTCACTTAAGAGGACTCCATTATGGGAATCGAGTTTCAGCAGTCTTATTGTTGAAGTGACAACCAACAGTTGTTTGACAGATGATGGAGCAAAACAAACATGAAGGGCTGAGTCTACAATGGATCTATCTGCAGTGATGGTGCTGATATCCACTCGTAAAACCTCAAAACAGATATGAAAAACACTGTTAGCACTTTAACAGTTACACACATTGCCCCCTGTCACATTCCCTATTATTAAATGTTAATGCCTTTGATAAACACTAACAATCTCATGTCAGTCTGTTAAGTGATGAAAGCATTTAATTGACTGGTTCATCATGTTACAAATTAGTCAAGCCCAACTTTCACCCAATGGTAGCATTTGTTAAACATATACTTAATCAAGAGTCAAAGTATTTGGCACAAAAGTAGTAATGGCTAGATACCATTTTTACTTTTTGCACCTTCCCCTGGAGATAACACTGCCCTTTCTACAGGGTCACCCCAGTTATGAGAGAAAAGCCATTCGCAAAGGCACCATCTTCATTTCTCGGGTTATTGGACTCTGAGTGTTGGTCCTCTCAAAGGGACAGAACCCACAACCTCTTATCTGCAGTCCATTGCTATATGGACTGAACTATCCCTGCTGTACATGTAGTCTCCCTTGCAGCTGTTTTTTGGATGTCATGCAATGCTCGCTATCCCTGCTGAGGCTGAATTTTAGACCTTAATCTCAGACAGTTTGATGCTTCTTACTGCAACTTCTGCCTAAGGAACCTGAGAAGAATGACCACACTTTTCCCAGACTGTTTAAAAATAAGACTAGACTACCATTTGCAAGGGAATCACAGCTGTCACTAAGGGCCATGGGCCAGGGATTTCCCCCGGCTACTATGAGCATGACCCCTGGCTTCTTTTATAGGGAAAAAAAGGAAAATATAACCAAAATAACATCCTAGCTGCTAAATTCCCCGTCTACTTATTACATATACCTGGAGCCCTAAAATCTTACTGACATCACTGTGAGTACAATTAAGTCTCTTAGAAATGGACATACTTGGGACAAGAACTGTCCATCATAATCAGATCAACCTTATCGTCAAACAAAAGGATAAACAAAGACGAGCTCTAGAAGTCCCAATTTGAGGAGGTGTCCATTACGCGAGTTGACTCTGTGGTACATGTAAGAGTGAGAGGGCTGGTTTTTACTACCGTTCAAAACAAATCACAGGAAAAAAAGATAACCTCACTTAAAACTTACCTCATCCAAAGATCTAGCATTGGCAACAGTCACTGTGTATTCAGATGGTCCAATAAATGCCAACCTCAGGCTGTCTTCACTCACACTCAGTACATGTGGTCCAAACTTACCCCCCATTACTACTGTATTGGGCAGTACACGGGTCAGCTGGAACCCCTCATCAGTTGCATCATACAGGGCAAGAGAACCTACCAAGCAAGACAGCAGACACAGCTTCAGTGACATAGAGGATATTACATGGCCGCGCGGAGATATTTTCAACACGAGAAGAGAAATTCCGTATCTCCAAGCGGCCATGTAATGTTCTATTTATTATATAAACACCAATGAAATACCAAACCATTTCAATGAAACAGTTTTTTCCTGCAAAAGGTGCGATTTATTATGTAACCATAGCAACGGTAATATTTTCACATGTGAAATTTTCATGTGTGAAGGTATCATGTTTTCGGGCAAAAGCTCACCTGGTATTTCGCTGGTGTTTATATAATAAAATAATTTCTTTGAAAACTCTTAAGCTTTTAAGGCAGACCAGAAGTGAAGTAAAGTTACAAAATGCAATTTAGGAGGGAGGTAAAGTGCATAAGAGCAAAACCCAGTACCATAAAATACTGGAATGTTAGAATACGCTTTTGATGTTACGAAAAATAATATTTATTGTTATGCACTTTTGTCATGTATTTCATCAGACTCAAACAGAAAAGAACCTCCAGCTGATAAAATATGAAAATATACTAGTTTTGAAAATCCTTCAGGAACATGACTTTGTGACATGAATAATGTGCATGTGCACAGCGAGGATTTGCACAAACAATAATGGCAACGTCAATGAATTTAAGAGACACAAGCTTGTTGATGAATTAATATCATTTACGTTGAACCTGGTTTTGAGATGCTAATTTTCTAGGATCCTTACACAATTCTTCGATAGAAAGGAAAAAAGAAAAAAGTTTTGGATTCCTGAGGTTCATTTTTAAAGGGAGCAATATGAAGAAGACCATAGGCATGAATGAGCTAGGATTCTATCATTTAAACTTTCACGTCAGTTTACCATTCATTACCTAGTGCACCTGCACTATGCATAAACTCTCCATTTGGCGAGAACACCAAACCAGTTACTTGACCAGCATGTTGACTATGTTCAGCCAAGAGATTTGTTGTTCCAACGTCAAACACCCTGACACAGCCAGACATGAAGCCACAAGCAAAGCACTGCAGTCGGGGGTGATATGCAATGGCGCAGGGAACTTCTCCTGGGGCTTGAAAATCAAACAGCTGTGCAAGGGTATCAAGATCCCAAACTCTAATGGACTGATCTGCAGAAACTGTGGCCAGATAACGATGCGTTGAATCAAAGGACATGGCTAGGATCTGCTCAGTGTGTGATCTCATTAGAGTGGTGTAGGATCGAGCCGAAGCTTGTAAGACACCAAGATTACCCTTTAAAAAAATGAACAGGGAAATTAAAGAAGCTGATATGTAATCCTTCCAAAATGTAGAAGAATGTTAGTTCACACACATAATAATGTTATTACACCATGATAGCAAAAAAAATTCAACAGGAACAAGCTTGATTTATGGCTCAGGAGCCTTGCATAAATGTTATGATGCTTACTTACAGTTTTAGTCCCTGCTAAAACAAACAATCCATCACTGGATATATTCACAGCAGTCAGTGGCCCCTCATGTTCTGACAAAACGATAGAATTGAACAATCTTTCAGTTTGTCAAGTCTAAGAATGTATTACAGACGTTTAAAAGAACAAGGAATCAGTTGTTATTTAAGGACAATGGCTTTTTCTTCAGTTGTTTAAAATTTTCATAGCTGTTAATTAACAAGATAAGGACAAGCTTGTGGAGTCACAAAGAACAAGACAATGATCATCAATTTAAGGAAGCTGCTGAATGGTTAGGCCTTATGAAGAGCCTAGCTATAGAGCTTTTAACAAATTACTCTAAAAACTATGACCCTTTTATCTATTCTTTGAGCCTTTTTGCCTAGAAATGTTCAAAACTTAAGGCTGTTACAAGTGCTGCATTTCAAGTCACTTGCACCACAAAACAAATTGCTTTACATTTTGTTACAGGTCAAATTTGATCTCAGATTAATTTTGATTTAACCTAGGCGCTAGAAGACAAAGAAAACTGAGAATCAACCTAGGTTAAAAAATTTTAACCTGGGAACAAATTTGACCTGTAACACATAACAGGGATTACAAATTTCTATTTCCCTTTGAGGTCACTTTGACTCCTTGTCCAAAAATGTTGGAGTCATTTTTGAAAATGTGAGGTCAAGGAACATAACAAACAAAACACTACATTTTCAAAGAAAAACAAGATGTGTGCTTTAATGCAAAGTACTACATTTCCTTAGATAACAGCATAGAACACAAGTACAATTTTATATAAAAATGTCTTTTTCCACACCAAATTGTTCCATTACTGCTCTAGAGTTCTTGAGGAATATTAACAACACAAGATGAACAGATTTTTATCTTCCCCTTCGAGCTTGCTGCCACTTCAGAACACACTCATCAACGAAATCATCCAGTTCTGGAGGTCCATTCCGTGCGGAATTTTCTTTTAGGAGCCTGGTCTGATGTTTTATCCAGACTCCGCTTCCTCGAGGACGAAGCTGAAGGCGCGGCCATTTTGAGCACGTGCAGTGAAGGCACTTAATACCATTATTATATGAAGTACGTATGCGGAGAAGAACCGCTGACCGAAAACGTTCACAATTAAAAATGGCAACGTGCTGTACGTCGGACACAAACGAGCTACGGACAAAGTTTGTTTCACAAAGGAATGTTGTTGCAGGAATGCCAGGACCTTCCATTTTTATTGTTTCATTACGGATATAACAATTTTTAAGATTTTTCCAGGCAGAAAATAAAATTCTGCTGAACATTTCTGAATTCCTCTCCGGAGTCAAAGTGACTCCCCAATGGAATTTTTTGGAGTCATTGATGAATTCTTGGCGTAAAATACGCCAAATTTGGCGTATTTGTAATCCCTCCCCATTGTAGCGCACAGTCCTCATGGTATAATCTTATAAAACTGGAAGTACATGTAGTTGCAGGTTTGTCAATGAAAAGATTACCATTTCATAGAAACCAAAACATCATGAAAAGATATCCTTATCATAATGACACCATGTTTTTAATTTACCATAAAAATTCTGACCTGACATTTTTGTTTCAGTTAAACAATCAATTATTGGATAAAACTGAACAAAGAAACAATCTTTAAGTAGAACTAATTATGATAATTTATTAATAAAATTAAAAGACAAAAAATTGATACATTTATATTATTACCAGCTTCAAGGAAGACAGTAGAGAAGTCCAAAGGCCATAATCGAAGTATACCATCATCAGATCCAGTGGCACAGAATGACTCATTCACACAGAGTGAGTTAATTCCAAGCCCAAACTCAGTTGGAGTGGTGCCACCATATTTACCAACTGGATTGTGATGTGAACCCACAGGGAGAAGTCTGATAACTTTATCCAGCATGATTTTCTGATAGTCAATCTGATACACTGTTCCATGGCTTGTGCAAGAATATCTGCAGAACGATCAATAAAAAGTAAACAAAAAGATTGTTGATCAGAGTCCTCCAGAACTATACATATCGTAGCAAAATTTGTCTTCAATGGCCCTGATTTGCATGCAATTTATACTTGGCTACAGTGGTACCTTGATGAAACGAAGGGTAAGGGAACAGCAAAAACACATTTCCTGAGATGAAGAATATTGTTAGTTTTATTTCAAAAACTCAGCACACAACTGCCATTAACCAACAGTGCTCAAATGAATCCAATAATTTTATGTTCAGACTCTGATTGCATCCCTTTCCATGGGTATCTAAAGCTGGAGTGCCCCTCACCCCCCCAAAAAAGCTTGTTTAATGCTATACTGACCCCACACCAAAGCCACTGATGGAACTGCAAAACTACAACAAAAAAAGAATAATAATAACACTCACACTTTCCTAACTGTAGGATCTGCACTTAAAGGATCTTTAGCTCCATAGACAATGTCATTAAAATCAACAGAGCCATGACGACCAAGGTCAACTGGACATGACCTCAAAGAACCATGACGAATTCGCCAGAACCGGATGTTGTCATTGCCACAGGAAACCAGTCTGTCATTAAAATGTTTACATATGAAGGTATTTAACAAAAAATGTGCAACAACTGAAAAGGTATAGAAGCTCCAGGTTAAAGAATTGCTAAATGTAGATTTTTAGTCTTAACACATGTTACTTTTAACTTGTTTGTCAAAGTTAAATCTAACAAACCAAGCAACAACAATGACAGGCAGACAGGACCCCCTAAAAGCCCTGTTTGGTGAACAGAATGGTGTGATGCATAAGATAATAAGATAATTGATATGGTGTGTATTAAGTGTCATAAATGTCTTTAAAAGAGGTTTCTGGTTTATAACCCTTCTTCAGTGCACAGTAAAACTTTAAACTATGCAAATAAGATTCAGACATTAAATGGAAACACAAATGCTTGTAAATAGTAGTGTGGGCTCATACATGCATGTCACAGTTTAAAGGAAGCTCATGAAATTAATATTCAGTCCTTTTAGCTGAACAGACCCTAGGATGACAATTATCTTCATTCCAAGCTGCTTTCATTGGATATTTGTTTCATTACATAAAGCCATACCCTGTACTGGGACGTACATCAGAAATACTGTGACCCGTGGAGTTGAAATCTTGGGCCACAGGAAACCCAGGAGTGTTACAGTATTTCTAATACACTCCTGGGTATCCTGTGAATATAACCTGCCTTTTGTCAAATGGTATTACAAATAGTGGAAGCAATAATAACATTATCATGCATTTATTGTCAATAATAATTTACATCATTTTTAAAGGAATATATATTTTATTTCAATTGATGTCATTCAGAAGTCCTTCATCAACTTCACACTGGTTAATAAAAAACGAAAAGATTTAATGCTTCATTTTCCATTTTATGTTATTGTTTAATAATAATTATGATAATTTTTAAAAAATAACACAAAATGGAAAATGTAGCATTATATCCTTTCATTCTTTATTAACCAGTATGAAGTTGAAGAAGGACTTCTGAATGACATCAATTGAAATAAAATATGTACTCCTTTAAAAATGATCTGAATGGAATCACATGTCAAGAGTATAGTATGGACCCGTTACTCTGGTGGGATACCTATTCATGACATCACCTGTCTTACCGGTGATGTATTCCACTTCACTCTAATGAGATTCCAATTATGTCCCTACTATACTACTCATGTCAACACTAAAAGATAGTGTTATAGTGAGGTGAAGAAAAAGTTGATTATTTTCAATTATTAATTTGCAGTACCTGCTGTCATCAAACTCTGCTATCCTCATGCGGCAAATGTCAACATCAGTGTGAGCCTTGGCAATGATAGACATCTCACCACCCCTGACGGCATGGCTTACATCCCACACCACAACCATCTGAAACAGTGATAACATTATAACAATTTCAAAGAATGATGTAGTTAAATGGAAGGTTAACAATTGCATCACACTGTACAGTGTATGGAAGATGGGTGCCTGGTCTGTCTGGGGCCTTCACTGTGACCAGCTGGGTCTAGACAGAAAACTGCTCCCATGGCTGGCCATCCTTAAAACTCAGCCATGAGCCCTACACTGCATGGAGTTGTCCAGGCAATCATCACATACACTTTGTTTACAATGGGAGATAAGGGAATAGGATGTGAGGGATACAAAGAAACCAAAGGATACACTCCATAGAAAAAAGTTGCCATGCATCAGCACGCTGAAATGTGCTTTGAGGCTTTGACCAAGAATGCTCAGAACATGCACTGAAATCTGAAAGGGGTGAATATGAGTAGCAAATCCGGAACCACAAAAGGGGTCAATGGCAAGTAACATTCCATTTGATTCAAACTTCCTTCAAATAGAAAGAAAGGACTTCCAACGGTGAAACTCCTTGATCCCTTAGGTACCCCATTGACACAGGAAGCAGATAGTAGGTTGATTTAGCAACAGAACGGGAACGTCATTTGACGACGGGAAAGTGTGTGGTAAGGACTAAACTCGACTTCCGGTGCCCAATTTGCCGCTGTGCCATTGGTCAACCCAGTTGTTTGATTTGCACACGCCGTCGGCAACTGACGTTCACGTTCTGTTGCTAAATCAGCCTAATATTTCAAGAGATACATCTTCACCTGTTTGCCATGACCATCTTTTCCAACTCCGCACAGAATGTTTCCACTGTACGATAAACTAAAATATTTGAGAAATAAATAAGGTTGCACTTAATAAAAATGTCATTACTGCAAGGCTGTCACTATAAGGACTGGGAGCAGGGATTTCCCTTGGTTTCTATGAGTATGAACCTTGGCTACTTTCATGCATAGGAAACAAAAGGAAAAAAGAACTAAAAAAGAAAAAAGACTCCCTAGATGTTCAATTCCCCGTCTACTAATATTACATGTACCCTTGAAATCTTCATGACAGCCCCGTAACTGTCAGTGATAGTACCACTGTAAAGCTCAGAAAACCGTGAACACCAGAAAATTATTTCTGGAATGTTACGGTGTTTTAAGGAAAAAGTACGGCTGGCATGAGAAAACCCAACCAACTGCATGCAACAATAGTAGTTTGTGGTTTTGTGCCTTGCTCGCATATCCTGATCTTTGTTGAGATTGCTCATAACACAATAAACATTACCGGCATATTTCAAGTGCTTCACAGTTTTGTGAGTTTGACAGTAAAAACCCTGCTTGCATTTCTGCCCCACTCAATACTAAGCCCTTTGTCGATAAACAAATCCAAGAAGTTAGTAAATAAAGGTGAAGAAGTCTCCTGGTCCCTGCAAGAGCATGGATAAGCTCTGAAATTTGCCCTGATAAAATTATGCAAGTTAATATTGCTTTGAGAAGAGTTGAACAAAAGTAAAGGTCTTAATTTAAAGGTGTAGAACACCTCTATTTCAAAGGCTGAGGGGGGGTATTTTCAGTATTTTTTCAAGGGTTGTCACTTTAACAGCCATTACTACAGGATCTTCAACCCTAAAAGACTTTTAAGAAGCTGGCCTTTACCTTATACAGTGAACATTATGAACCTCTGCTCTAAACATGGCAGTGCATTTTCGTGACTGGTATTTCCACATTCTAATAACTGAGGGTGAACCAGTTTGAGCAGAAGCTAAAATGTCTGTTTTTCCATCAAATGCAAGTGCAGAAACCTAAAGATATGAAAAAATTCACACACACTCACACACTTTATTAAGCAACAAATGTAAAGCAACATATTTGTGTAACAAACCCCACCTGAAAAGATAAATAAAGCATTTCTGACTTCATATCATTAGAGTAAGAAAAAAACAAAACGAATAATGAAATTTGCATGGACCAAGATAATCTTTAAAAGAGTCATTTCCTACCATTAATAATATCATGGCTCGTGGGGACAAACACTTCCCAGAATCCAAAACACACCCCAGAATCCACAAACATTTAACAAAAAAACCAAAAACATGACCAGACTCCAAAACACACGTCATGCTTACTGGGAGAGGTTTTCTTCTGCTGATTGAAAGTAGGTTTTAAAAATTTTTGATACCATTATTATTTCCTTGTTTCCCTGTCTGACATTTGCCTTTGTTCAATTCAACGGCTATCAAGCCTTACTCACAGGCAAATTTCATTTTTTTTCTCTGGAATTGGTATCTTCTACACAGGACTTTAAAATACCTTATCTGTATGGCCCATAAAGAACTGTTGGTGACCTGATGTAACATCTATTGACACAATGATGGCATGGCATGGGTACACAATACATGATCCATTCTTGGTCCACAGAGCCTGTAAGTGAAAAGATTGTCACTTATTCAATAAAAAAATAACATTTCATGTTGCTGTGTTGTTTGAAAATTACTATCAGGTATTCCCCTCACTAAATCATAAGAGACATTCATTGGATACTATGTTAAAGATTTTGATTGAGTGCAGAAAGTCCATCAGCATCATTTCTTGCTTAAAATACAGGGTATCATCTCCATTTTAAAGAAAGTGAAATTATCACATTGTGTTTTGTTGCTAAATGTGAATACTGGTCTATTTTGGGGGATAATAATATTGTAATTGGTCATTTTGAAAAACTACTTACATTGTAAACCAACTGACTGTTAAACAGTTCCTTAAAGGAGAAATGGGACTAGAGTTGACATTACACTGCACATGTTTTCTAATTGTGCACAATATCACTGAGCAAAATACAGTAATCTTGTCAGTGGAGAAGGGGAAAAGAGAAAACTGAAAAGCTCTTTACACTGTTAGGCAAACAATAACAGAGCCAAATTCAGAAGCTCATTAAGTTGTCTAAATTAAATCAGTTCAAAAATGCAAGTACACATTTGTCCCTGATGCTTTTTTTCCGCAAAAATTGTTTACAATGCTCAGTTATTGATTAGTTTACGTTTTACCTCTGCCACTTTTTATTGCCTGTTAAAAGCAGGATTAAAAAACACAGACTACAACTGGAGAAGCTGAAACAAAAGTGCAAAATAAAGCTTACCTCACGAAAAGTACCACCTCCAAAGCCTACCACTCTTTTGAGAGACAAAATTGGATCTGGTTTTAGAGTCTACAAAAAAGGCAAGAAAAGTTGATTCCATTTGATATTTTGGGAATCTGCAGTTCTCCAGAAAGGAGGGTAGTTAAATAATAAAAGTGTATTTAGTTAATTATGCTGTATTAGCAATAAATGTTCAATTACACAAAAATGAATCCACTTTTACCGTAAAGTTTCCTGCCTTAGTCGCCTTGGGTATTTCCGCTCTCTGAAACTAAGAAGTTAAAAAACTAAAAAATGCTGTGTAATATGGGCCAGTGAACATGTACACACTGTAAGGGAGGAAGGAAGGTATTATTAGGAAGGAAAAGTGCATAAGTAAGTGGTAGGTACGTACTTTTTAGGTAAGTGGGTATATTGGTGAGGAGGTAGGTTGCTTGGTAGGAAAATCAGGGTTCTTCAGCAAATTGAATGAAAAAGGAGAAAACTATTACATGTGTAAGTAGGCAACAACTGATTAGATTTAAGGGCATGGGTTTTACACAGCACAGCCTGCAGCCTTGTGTAGGGGTTGGTATGGGAGGGAGGCTGCCCCGTTTTCATTGGTGGGACCCAGAAAAAATTTTGAGGCTCATGAAAATTACATTTCAGTGTTATTGTATTTTGAGCAGCCTAGAGACAAATTTTAGCTATTAGGATAGCATCTTCATTTACTCACAAATGCATCACATGTTTGTTTTTATGAAAACAAAAGTCTAAAGGCCGATTTAAATGTTACGATTTTTATTTACCACTGTCATGCGTGACTAGCATACGTCATGACTTCACGTCAGATAGTGTTGTGTGAATTAGACCCATGAAATCCGTACAACACGTGTGGATATCGTAAGTGAAAATTGTGTGCATGTGGATGGTCAAAAGTCGTGACGTATGCTAGTCATGCAGGATAGTGGTAAGCAAAAATAGTAACGTCTAAATTGGCCATAAAAGAACCAATTAAAATACAATAATTTATTATCTATGCTAGAGCAGTTGCAACCTACGTAGGTACTAAGTTGGAATGTAAGCAGGTGGGTCAAAACTAACTGTTAAAAGGTAAGCAGATAGGTGGATCATTGGGTGGGCAGCTACAAAAGTATGCAGGTAGATTAGTAGGTACACAAGGGAGTGGGCACTTACCATTTACATAGAAAAACTGAAAAAAGCAGTTGGAAAATCAAATGGTTCGGGCCATTCTGTTTGGGAAGCTTCAGAAAATACGGGCCGTGGTTTGTGAGGTGATGCAATAATTTATTATTTTTCTTTTCTTTTTGGTGTGTTAAGCTGATTTTGATATACTGTGTAGCCTGTTGATCTCCCACCAAGTCAAATTTTATAGACTTTACAATAATGCACAAGATTTCCACCTGATTGGTTTGTGCAAATGGTAAACACCCCAGTCCCCATGTAGGTAAGCATGTAAGCAGGTCAGGGGGTGGATGAACAGGTTGGCAGACACGTAGGTAGGCAGTGGCGAATCGAGACCTTCAGATGGGGGGAGGGGGGGTCATCCAGACCCTGAGATAAGGGGGGGGGGAGCTCAAAAAAATTTTTTTCAGTACTTCGGGCCTCATTTGGGTCTAAAATAAGGGGGGGGGGCCCGGGCCCCCTGGATCCGCCACTGGTAGGTACTAACTTCTGCCTTTTCTCCTGAAAGAAAAACTATCCCCAAAGTTAGGTAAGTTTGATTTCATAGGCCAGTCAAGTGTGCGGGTGGGTAGGTAGGTATGAAGTAGGTTAGTACAAGCAGGGGGTAGGCAGCAGGCCAGTGAGTTGGAGGAGGGACAGGTAGATAAGTGAAAAGGCAGCTAACGGGTGGTAGGTAATGTAGGGAGACAGCTAGTACTACCCTGAACTTGAATGGACTGTGCGCAGCTATAACATGCAGTTGCTAAACCATTTGATTGCAACATGGATGAAAAAGTACCATAAGTATAAAAGAAAAAGATTGGGCTCAAAATAAATCATACCTTTTCTCTCTCTTTAGGATGTTGAAGATTATTGACGACTTTGCTTGGATGGGCATAAACATGCACTTCACCATTGTTCTCATCTACCAAACCTGCTCCCTGCACTCCAACAGCTGGAAGGGCAGTGGGAATGACAAACTGCCGCTGAGAAACAAACAACACATAGGTTATGACTGACTTGAGCTACTTTCTCCGTTGCACAGTTTTCCCAGAAAGAACAAACACAGAGGAGGAAAGAGAAAAACACTTACCATAAATGCTTGAAAAAGTGCTGGCTTCAATTATTAAGCACCCCTATTTAGGCTCAAAATGTTGATCGTTGAAAGCTGAAGACCCACCTCCTCTGACAACAGTGCTTGAGGATAGCACCATGAAAATTGAAGGGGATAGGTAGGATTACCTAAACTTAGTGACAGCGAGACGTTGAAAATCCTCCTTCCCCTTTGACTTAGAAAATTAATTGACAAATATTGAGTGGTATTACCACATACCTTCTTTGTAGGTTGTTTCTGTGGATTAAGTCTGTCCACTAATGCCACTCTAGAAGCTACTGCCTGGCCCGTCTGACAAGAAAAATATGTTCATACAGTACTAAAAGCGGGACATAACACTGCCAAGCTTTTCTGTCTACAAAGCATAGAATCAGTGACCAAAGAGAAAGTCAGTACTGTCCAGTGGCCCTGGGCTAGTGGATTTTGCTATCAGGCTAATGAATGCTGTTCCTAACTTGCCCAATGAGCAAATGAAGGTTTTAAGGGAATTCAAATTACAGATCGTCAAAAAAACCTTTTCAGGCTAGTTGAAATGACTTTTGGGCTAGTTCAACCCTGCCACCACTACAACTTGCCCGAATGGCAAGCTGTAAAACTGACTTTCTTTGTACTCAGTAATTATTCACCTTCTCTTCATCCATTACAGGAACATTTCCATAACTTCCCTTAGGCAGTTTTCCATTGACATTAACACGACTACGATGATTCGGCTTAATTTTTTTGTCCTGGTAATGAAAATGTTCTCTCTCTGAACTTTGATGAACTGGGACGGTCTTGTGGTGACTCAATGTAGACTTCACATTTGCTATGATTCCAAATTGAGCAACTTTAGAATCAGGGGGAAACTTGATGTAGTCATAAAGCTGAAGCCAATCTTCTCCTTTTGGTAGCAAAAATGCCATTTCTCTCGGCATGGGACTGATACCTTGGTCTAACAAACCCAGTTTCCGGGCTTCAGAAGCAGAGATTCCAGGCTGATAATCAATGTCGCTAGTAAACAGTCCTTTAAGAAACATACTGGCACACAAACGAATGTTCTTCATGTATGCATACTGGCGGTTCAGGTAAACAGATAAGATGTATCGAAAGTCCAGCACCAGAACAGTCCATCGTGTCGCCTGTGGGGTCATGCCAACAAGACCTAAGATACCCAAGATAATAATTTATTACTCTGACAATTTATTATTCTGATTCACAACAGAAGGGAGGGAATTTGGAAAGATGATTTGATGGCTGAGGGGTAGACAATGTTTATTAATGAACAAAGAAATTGTTGATACAGAGTGACACAAAATTATTCAATTCAATATTTAATTGAAGGCATCGATAATTTTGGTACCCTGTGCTCATAAAGGCAACAACAAGGAAAGACAGTGGAAGATCACAAAAGGACATTTATTCTCATTTATAAGTAAAGAATAATTAGGTTAATAGAGGATTTACAATATTATTGGACTTACTACTTAACACTGACGCTTCGCCAACAGTAACTTCATCAACAGATCCTGGGGCAGGGCTTGACACAAATGGAAATTGCAGCCACGTTGAAGTTGACTTGAACTCCTTGAACATGTTTGAAAAGGAAATCCTAATGGTCAGCCCATCATCTGTTGCCACATCAATATGTACCACAAAATATTTGCCAGGGATTGGCCGAAAGAGGCAGTAGAGATACCGCCCAGTCAATCCCAGTGACTGTGTACTAGTACGAGGAAACTGAATGAAGTTGCTGGCAGGAATTGAACCAGTAATTCTGTACACTGTACCTTTTAGCTGCTTGTCCTAAATGGGGTTATTTGCAAAAAAAGAATAATAATATTTATTACGTCTGCACACAGTTGAAGTTTGCGCTATTTCGTAAAGCCATTAAGACGTTTTTGTTTGGGTCAGCATTTTTATTTATTTCCTGTTTTAATGATATTTTTTAAATATGTTTTTCTTCTTTATTTTTCATTGATTATAACTAGTTTTTGTACATATTTAAAAGCATAATTTTTAATTTCATTATACCTGTAAAGCACTTTTGATAAGAATATGTAAACTAGTGCTATATAAGTTATTAAATTATTATTATTATTTATTCTTATTATTAAACCTTTGCAAAGGCAGTGTTGACAGCAGTGCAAATGGTTTAAACATTGTTGGATGTACTTGTAGATATGTTTAGGTAATGAAACCCTCAGGAATTAACTCCAGGAGGCACGATGACTGGGAGTTCAGCATATAGGCAGGCCAGCAAAAATGCTTTACAACAATAGGCAGAAAAACCAAAGAAGAAGGCAGCAAAGACCTAAAATTGGGTGGTTATTATTAATTTTAATATTAGTAAACCAAAGTGTTGATTAGGCGGCTGGAGTAATTATTGCCAACTGCCGGGTCATTTTGACTGGGCTGTTTGGGACCTGCAATCTAGCAATCAAAGGTTTGAATACTGCTTGGATCACCAGCTGATTGCTTTGCCGTCACTGCCAAACAGCCCACCCGACCATGACAACATCTCTTTCTTTTATACCCATGGTGCTACTGAATTTCTTTAGGAAAAGCTCTTTATGTTTATACTTACCATAATAGTAGAGACCTCTCCTTCTTTGGAGCACTTCTTCCATTCTCCAATGTTAAAATGTTTAAAAATATTGACATTAGGATGTTGCCAAACTGCAAGAAAGAAAAAGCAAAGCTGCATGTTAAAGTGTTGCATCAGTAAATTTTATAACACTGTTACAATTTGTCACAAAAGAAATATTTCTCCTTGGGTTCAGCTCTAATGGGGATTGCTTTTTTTGTCCACTGAATATTACAGTAGAGCCCCAGTAACTTGAACTCTGAGGGGAAACGAAAAACAGTTCGAGTTAGCGGGGAATTCAAGTTATTGGAGTCGTTGCTTAAGAAAGAAAACAAAATGTACCAACATACACCACCTTTACAAGCACTGAAAATGCATCATTCAGAGGCCTCGCCAAAGAGTCAGTCTATGAGGACCCAAAGTTATTTGCGGAGATTTACCGTAAGTGTCTTTCCCAAAGAAGGTGTGCAAGAGTGTCTCTTAGGCCCAGTTCAGACGCAAAACTTTCCATGAGCCGAACCTAATTCAAATAGGCCACAACCTTTATCATGAAAATGAGTTCAATTTGGTCAAACTGCTTATAAAATTTGTTATAATAATTTATGCATTAGGTTTGGTACATGAACAGTTCAGCGTCTGAATCAAAGTCATACTAAAGTTGATAAAAAGTTGAAATTCTTGGCCGAGCTAGGCAGGAAGAACGGCTGAGCTGTTCCAAATTGAAAACAGGCGTTCCTAATTGATTCAGATGCCAAACTTTTCATGTACTTAATTCAGTGTATTAAGTTCAGCTCATGAAAAGTTCAGCATCTGAACTGGACCTTAAGTTCACAAAGAAATCTCAACATACGGACCAGACTCAGAGAATATTAGTAGTACATGTATGAGGATGACACTCTTCACTTTTGATGATTTCCCGTTTGTAAATCATACCACTATTCACAATTTCTCTGAATAACCCCATCCCCATCCACCTGTGATAATAAAGTTTTCAATGCATGGAGCAAGTGTTAGTCCCAATAAGGGGTGTCATCCAAGTACTTTAACTGCCTCAGACGGTGTTGAAGTGTCAGAATAGAGATCAAGTTTTTCATGAGAAACCCCAAACCGAAGTTTGCAGTTATGCGTTTGCAGTATGTTGCCAGGATTTCAAATTTTAGCAAGGCATTCATTGTTTAGTGCTGCCATGTCATTTTTCGTCAAGCCAAGGTGCCTCACTTTGTCGCCGAAAAACATGAATACCTCATTGATTCAAGTTCAAAAATCTAGCTAGCACATTGCAGGCAGATATAAAAAACTACTCTGTGTCTTTAAACGTGAGGCAGTAGAATTTTTAGTAGCAAAAAACTTTGCTGTGAGTCACTTTGCACTTACAGCAGGAAGCCCTTCCTGCCATTCAAACCTGACACGTGACCACAAGACCGTGGTCACATGACTTTCTGAGTTTTGCAGTTTGCATTTTGCCATGAAAAACCTGATGCTAAAGGTCTCTAATGTCCCTGCCCTATACCTTACAGGTAAAAATCGCCAAGCCATGGGGATAGGGGGTTGAGGGGAGCAGATCACTTCCGGACGTGTGAGGAGAAGACCAGGTAGTATTTGACAAATTCTTGTTTTAAACCTTTGAGAATAATCTGGCTCGTTTGTAGTTATTTGCCTTTTAACGATACTGTTAAAAATACATAGAACCTAATGATTTTTAGACGAAAGTGCGCCTCTTGCCCAGCTGGTTAATTGGCAACAAATACATATACATATACTTACACTTCGCCATGGTCTTCTCTCTATTTCATTTTTCTTCTTTATTACTAAATAACAGTTTTCAAAACCACCTCCAAAACAAATCTGCTCCTGTTACTAGCAGCTAAATACAGGAATTGCACCGACCTGTGATTGGAAGATAAAAATAGTATTTCAGTGACGATGACGTGACAATTCGTTACGTTAGCCGTTTCAAGAGTAATGGTTTTTACACGAAAAAGACAGTCCACAGGAAAATACAATATAATATTAAATATTTCTCAAAGACAAACAGTGCAGTATTCTTTTGAAGTCGGCTGACTCGCTAAGAGTGTCTTATCGAAGTTGAAGTTCAACTATCGCAAATCGGATAACTTCACTGAGTGATTCTGAGATGAAACCTTTTGTCTGCATCCACATTGATCTTAGATTTTACCACTTACATATTGAAGAAAAGCCATAAACAGAGCTTCAATGTCCACGTCAGGGGGGGGTGGTGAACTTGGTAGTTTGTTTGTCCGGACGATCTTGGCCATCGTGACGTCACGAAGAGAGAAGCGCGCAACTTCGAGGAGTTTTCGAAAATGGCGCCGTTGTCATTTGCAAATGCTACTTTTAAAGTTGGTTTTCCTGGATATTGACGCTCCAAAATGGTTTTTGTCACGGTAGGATAGTGCAGTTCCAACATCTCTTTCCGAAAAGGTGAGTGAAATGTGTATTAATCCGAAAAATAACGCGTATGAGAGCTATAAACAGTTTCGGTCAAGTTCCTCGAGTGGAATAATGTGCCGCAAAAGTTTGCATGTTCGCACAGTAATATCGCATTTTCTCGAAATCGGTGAGGTGTTGAACATCGAAACTTGGCATAAGGGTGGGTTACTTCTATTGGAAAACATTGTCTCTGAAGTTAATTGAGATAAACTTGCAGAAAAAATGATCAGTCCATTCGAGTGTGCCAGCGTAGCCTCCTTGCTGATGCAATGGTATTCATTACTTTGCTGTTATCTCCAATAATGCCAATAGTATCACCTATTCAAGCCGTCTTTTCGGGATAAGTAAATTTTAAAGTAGTTTCTGATAGAGGGAAAGTATAGTTGCAACAGCTCTTTCCGAGAAGGAGAGTTAATTGTATTATATTCTGATGATAATTACCTCGTAAATAGTCTAAACAGTTTAAGCCAATTTTTTCAAGTGGAATATTTGTCGCAGAAATTTGCATGATCGCATATTAACATCGCATGTCTTAGAAAATCGGTTTGGTGTGGAAATTCGAAACTTGGCAGAAGGGTAGATCAGCAATAGTGGAAAACATTGTCCTTGATGTTTAATGGGAGAAATTAGCAGTAAAAATGATCAGTCCATTCGAGTGCGCTTAATATTGATATAAACAGATGACCTCGACTCGGTTACCCCGGCACAATGTAAGTCAATTATTTTTCGGTTTTAAGAAAAAGTAAACCAAAGACTTCCCTCAACACTATGTATCTATAATAATTACATCAGGAATATATATATTTTCAACACTTGAAGGTTGTAACATATTGTTGAAGCAAAGGATATTTCTCTGTAATACCTATAAGCTTACATTAAGTTTTCATAAATAGCAAAAAAAATTAATAAGATTTACATACAGCTCCAAACATGTACATCTGTTATGCATGAAGCAATTTCATATCGTTCCATATCAATAGTTAGTGCGAATGGAGTCAAACATGTACAGTGAAACTTGTATAATGTAAGCGGACACCGCAGAGAATGCTGTAGTGCCCACTTAATACAAAGTTTCTTCCTACTACATACAGGTTTTGATAGAAAATGTCATATGAGGCAGACCTGCCAACTCTCACAATTCTGCCGTGAGTCTCACGATTTTTTAACTTTTCTCACGGTCTCACGGTCTCACGACAAGACTCCCAATCTCAAGGTTTTCTGGGAAATATTCTAAATTGAAATATTACCTTGTTGAATAAAAACATAAATTTTGTGGGGAAATTCTTGTGCCTGGATAAGCTTTGACTATTTTAGCCATGAAGTTGTCTTAGCCCAAAGAAATGACTCTGCTGTATGTTTCGTCACAGTGATAACCTATTTTCTGGCCTCTTCAAGTCATCAAAGAAAAAGCGGCATCTAATTTGTTACATAAGGGACCACACTAAAGCAAGGTTATATTAACATAAACAGTTGATTCCACTAATGGAAAAGGGGTAGTTTAATTTTGCTCGGGAAAAAATAGAATCTCACTACTTTTTGTAGAATCTCCCGATTTTTTTTCATGAGTCTACAGATTTTCCTTATTAGGGGTTGGCAGGTCTGTATGAGGAGCTAAGTACCATTCAAATAAAAGGCGGAAACATTTGGAATACTTCCAGAGATATGATGATATACATTTGCATTAATATCTTTATTTGTGCGGAGCAATTAATTAAACCTAGATTGTACCTCAAATTTTAAGATATCAAATGAGTGAAACAAGCTTTATACAAACAAAAATGAAATGGGAAAGTACTGTAACTCATTTATATAATTTACAGAAGTCCCCTGGTGACACCAGCCAAGTGCTGATAGGGCAAGACTCCCAATCTCATGGTTTTCTGGGAAAGCAAAAGGCATCTTAAAATAACAAAAGGCACATAGGGCTCAGCCGAATGGTACCATAATGATGTCAACACGTATGGAAACAGGCCTTTTCTCCGAAACCTGCCCCATTCCCCTATGGCTATTTTTATTTGCGTTTACCCTACCTCACCTCCCCTCCTCATACCTGATGAAACAAGGCTTTCAACAGTTTGTTGAGATAGGATGCTTTTTGTTTTAAAGGATGAGCTCATCATATTTTATTGTCGTAGAGATGGGGGTAAGATAAGTTAACAATAATAGACAGATTATTATAGGTGGGTTACTCATTTTTACAGCTATCCCTGGAAGAAGAAATGGAAGTAAGGAACTGACTGGCAGCCACTGAGATTGAGCTGAGGAGAAAGAAAATTGAATGAGAAGAGAAAGAGTTGAAAGGAAAAGAAGAAAGGTTAAAACAAAAAGCAAAAGAAATTAAAAACACAGTAATAGAGGCGAAGCGGGTAGCTGCCCAACTGCAACGAATGGCAGGGCAGCTAGACTGCTTGGCTAACCAAATTCTAGAAGAGACCAAAAATTAAAGAAGAAGTAAAAGAAAAACACCAGTGTAAGAAAATTTTATTGATAACAAACTGTTTCTTTTAATCAAAGTCAATGTGCAAAGTTTTTAAATGTAAACAAGTCTAAGTCAGACCTGTTATGCAAGAAAGAAAACACATTTGTTCAGTATGTAAAAAATAAAAGGAAACTGGTTCTTCTAATTTCTTGTATCCTGTATGGTCTCTTCTTGCTCCATGGAATCCACTCCATCTAACATCCTCCACTTCCCACACCGCACGACTCTCTTCGTGGAATCTATTATTTGTTAAGCATCTCTTAAATCAGATGTTATAATGGTTTTCCTCACCTACTCCCTAAACTTCACATTAATATAGGTGAGTTAAACCACAAACACCACCCCCGCCCCCCCAAGCAAAATGGTAAAAAAATATGTCTCCCTTGAATTATAAATTTTTGTAACTTCAAGCAACCTCTCAGGATAATCCAAAGACTGATTTCTAATCTTAAACCAATAGCTAAAAGGCAAGGCTATGTGAAATATATCAGCAGAGGCAGTACAACAGCAAATTTTAAAGAGGGGCTTTAGAGCTATTATAATGGACCACCTATAGTCATGGAACGATTGGGTCTTTACTAAGTTACGCCTATGAGAAATTACCACAAAGCTACATCAGCTGGGTGATAAAACTGTACAAGCTGGGTGATAAAACTGTACGAGCAGGCCTCGAAGATTGTTGGAACTGGACAGTGTCACTTGATGTATTTGACAATAGCATGGAGTCCAAGTAAGTTAAAAAGCATCAATAATTGAAAATTAAACCGATGCCCCTGCACTCCCACTCCCAGTAGATCCCCTGCCTTGACATTACCTAATAAACATACATTGATACTCGTGTCATTTTCTGAACTCCTGTAGTTATTGAACTATATTGTCATTCTTGAACTTTGGTGTCTTTATTGAACTACACAAAAAGGAAAACCGAAAAAAATGTATCTTTAAAGAAGTCTCTTTTTATATTGTAAAAGTGTGAGAAGGATGATGATATTCATCGCATGAAAATCCTGAAATTTTTTATATCCTTAGAAGTTTTTTGCTCACCTCATTTTTAAGATGCGGACGCCCGAGGAAACACATTTTCAATATTACACCATTGAAACGCTTACTAGTGTCCGTTTTCTTGGCTTTTTCTAGTTTTTTTTTCTATTAACTCTGTAAAGCGATTAAGGCAAAGCTACATACCCATCCTTTCTGCGGATTCTCCTCCTGGACTCTCTGCATAAAGCCCTAAAAATGTTGATGTTGATCAAAAAGTTTAGCTCACGGCACTTTACCCCAGTGATAGATTCTGTTTGACTATTTACAGGATAAAAACCATGTTTTCCTTTGTTTGTGGGGCGAAGAAGCAAAGAGAAAGACAATGTGAACTTATCTCCATCATGAGCAATGAATGTTTCGACAAAATGATCGTAATTTATAGTGAAAAGTTGCAATACAACAAGCTATAATAATATCCTTGGTTATTTCCTGACGATTTGATTCAATACGCTTTATTAACATTTTGATACGTTTGACTCAAACAGGAAATCCTTTCAAAACCCTTGAAGATTATAGCCCATATTCTATAAAAAAAAACACTTGCTCCTTACATTTGTTTAGTTTTAATGAATTGTTTACACAATTTGATAGTCTAGTATGAACATCATGACGCTATGTTTCGTGACCTGTCCACGCCACTTTCGCAATTTTTGTAAACATCACTGAGGTTTGCGACTTTTATCCCACTGATCATTTTTGCTAACTTATTAGATGACTCACTTCTATCACTAATTGAGAGACCCATACCATATTAACGTCATTTGTTTTTCTCTAGACTAAATTCTGCTGGGCTCTTTAGTTATGCGTCTCTAAAGACGCGCCGGTATGAGTTGTACCATCTGGTCGATCTCGGGAAGTTCTTGATTTTTTACGATGGAAATGCTCTTTCCTAGAATATATTGCAATTTTACTATATAGCATTAATAGATAAACACATACCTTCGGTCGTTTCATCGCAACGTCTCGACTTTTACCTCTTGAAACCACGAAACAATTTCGCTCGCTGAATCGATTTAAAGTTCCCGGGATAAATTTCTCGTGACGTCACGATGGCCAAGATCATCCGCCGCGCGATCCCTATAGGAGCGATTGACGAGTTCATCACCCCCCCCTGGTCCACGTACACCCGACTGAACCTCGGTGCGATTCCTGCAGATACCGCTGTTCAAACTAAATGCAGGAATTGCACCGGACGCGTTCTCGTCCCCAGAGTTTTTTTTTTTTGAAACCGCGACAAGACATCGATCCCTTTTCAATATAGTCTTGCGACAAAGGTCTGTATTAAAAAAATTAATACTGTTGTTGGAGGGCATGCAATGAATCATGCTAAAGTTTCTATTGGGAACACAAAATAGAGGTACCAGGGAATCACAGGGAACAACTGTGTAAGTGACATAACTTTTTATTTAACTTTGTAGCTAGTGTGCCGGTGGGGAGGGGATTCCTATACAATAGGCACAGGGCGGCTCATTAGAAAATTTAGTGTACCAAAGACTTTCTTTGACCCCTCGAGGAGTCCACTTCAACACTGTTAGCAGTAAAGTATGTGCAGGGCTTTTGTAAATGGATATTTCTATATTTACTGACTTTCCACCCCCAATATAAACATACCAATTAAGTGAGATCAAATTCTGTGTATTTCTATGCCTTTACTGAGATGAGACAACTTGATAAGTTAGAAGACAAGCAATCCCTGTAACTTTTATACAGGAGTTTCTCCCTCAAAAATGCTAGTGTATTTTATTTGGATTGTGTGGTTCCAGAAAATAAACATACCCACCAACCCCGAGGAAAATTCTGAAGGGGAGGGGGGTTTGAAAGGCCAAGATTTTTAAAGAAAAGTATGAAATTAACCTGGAATTTCCCGAATGGTGGGGGCATCCCAAGGAAAATACCATCCTTGGAGGGAGTATGGATATTTCCTGGAACAACGCATTTATTGTTTGTTATTAATAATTTAAAGGAAAAATAACACAGTTTGTTTATATAAGTGTATATGTTGTGGTTCAATTTGATCCTTGGTTTAAATTTTAGTTTCCTTTATTGTAAACTCATTATCATAGATTACCATACACAAAAACAAAGGAAAATATAAACCAAGGACAAAATTGAACCACAACATACATATATTAAGCTTATGTATAAACTAGCCAACGTATATATCTGTTACCTAGATAACATTTCGGCAATGATTTATATAATGCTAAGAAAGCCAGACATTCATGCTCACAGCTTGGGGCTATATTTCACAGCCGGCAAAAGTTGATTATCCCTGGTAGTAGTTTTGCAAAACAAAAGAAAATTTAAAACAAACAGAAGATTTCAAATGTACAGAAACCAAATTAAACAGTTTTTGAGTGCATGAAACAGTACATATGTGTGTAAATACTGTCAAGAAGGTCACTTAAAACCCATCGTGTGACACAGAGAGAAGCCACTTCATTTGGTGTCATGTCATAGTTTGGAATAATATAATCAAAAGGATTCAAGTATAGAATTTCCTGAAATTTCTTTATGGAACTTTCTGGAGGATACATTTGGACAGTCAGTGGTTTAATGTATGGTTCTGAAAACCAGTTTAATTCTGCTTGGACGGCCCTTTGTAGATCCCTTGCATAATGTACTTTTAACATATCTTTAACATCAGATATGCCAAAACATTGGGAGCCATGCTGCAGATAATAGTAACCCTTCTCTTCTTTCTGCCAGAAGCTTAGCTGCTTATCCCATGTTGTTAACAGACTAAACGGTGGTATTGTTTTCAATGAAAAGGGGTTTGTTGTAATTCTTGGAGAATCTGACACAACAACATCACCATCAGCATTTCGAGGGGATTTTGTGGGGGGTAAATTGAATTCAAAGGCCTCTCTCCTGGTATGGCTGGTAAGGGCAGAAGAGGTTACTTGCTTACTGCACTTTTGCCAGTCACCAGCCTGCATGGAATAGAGTTCAGATTCATTCAGATGAGTGTTTAGTCATTGACTGCCCTCAACTCCCTCCACCTCCCCCGCAAAAAAAAATGAATAAAAAATATAAATCAATGTAGAAATGTTATCCACAGGTACACAAGAGCTAATTTCAGCAAACTCTTACAGGTGGACCGCCTTTTCCCTAAATTTTGCGAGTGAACATGACATGTAACTCTATTAGCTTAAAACAAGCATTGACTCGTCTTTAGTTTCTCCACAGACTTTTTTCTGCGAAAACTCATCCCCACCCACCCACCCCCTGTGGCAGGTCAAATGGTCCTCGCAGCTACGTGCTGAAACGCAATGATTATTCGGTTTGCTGAAAAGGGGATTTTTGTTTCTTCCAAAGGACATGATGAGATTTAACCAGGCTGTTTAGGTGACCATTATTTTTACATTGCTGAGGTATTTCAGATTCGATATACTCACCAAGGAGAGCATGTTACACTTGTAAAGTCAAGCAGTAAAAGAAAAAAAGGCAAAGAACAATCAGCCCGAGGTTTAGATGACCTTTAGTCAGGATCCTATAACCCCTGCTTCAGTATAATTTAACTTCGAATACAAGTGATGTGTTATTTCCAGTGGCCTAAGTCTTGTCCTATCATGCGAAAATCAAAACGCGAGAAAATCAATTAAAGTTTCCCGCGGCTATTTAATTTATGCCAAGTTGCGCATTCGACCAATGAGCGTCCGGTGTATTCTCGTTCCCAGAGCCCGTCTTTCTTGGTCACGTGCTCTTTTGTTACAACTTAGAGTGACTCTGGGGACGAGAACGCGTCCGGTGCAATTCCTGCATTTAGTATGAACAGCGGTATCTGCAGGAATCGCACCGAGGTTCAGTCGGGTGTACGTGGACATTGAAGCTCTGTTTATGGCTTTTCTTCAATATGTAAGTGGTAAAATCTAAGATCAATGTGGATGCAGACAAAAGGTTTCATCTCAGAATCACTCAGTGAAGTTATCCGATTTGCGACAGTTGAACTTCAACTTCGATAGGACATTGACTCTTAGCGAGCTAGTCAGCCGACTTCAAAAGAATACTGCACCGTTTGTCTTTGAGAAATATTTAATATTTTATTGTATTTTCCTGTGGACTGTCTTTTTCGTGTAAAAACCATTACTCTTGAAACGGCTAACGTAACGAATTGTCACGTCATCGCCACTGACATACTATTTTTATCTTCCAATCACAGGTCGGTGCAATTCCTGTATTTAGCTGCTAGTCTCCTGTTGGTTCGCGCCATGTTTTCGAAGAAAACAAACTGAGCATGATCCCTGGTTCAGTCCGCGGACGAACACTGGCGAAGTCGCGGGCTCCCGTAGATACAAGCAAACAAAGATGGCGTTCAACAGACAACCAGTTGCTAAAGGAGGGTTATGGTCGACTCATTCGGCCCCTGTTAGTAAAGAAACGCAAAATTTACTCAGAGGTAACAAACAACTAACAAGAGATTACCCTAGAAGCAATTCAGGCTCGTAATGTCATTCATACATGCAGATATTTTAATTTTTGACTGCAGTTATGATGGACGAATCCAAGTTGACTAATTTTCAACGGAGACAGTTACAGGAAAACATGAAAAGTAAGTCTTATCTCCCCCATGATATTGTCATTTATGTTTTATATGCATTATAATGTAGAATCTAAAAGCTATATTTGATGTCAAAAAACCCTTTTACTTGGTCAGTATAATAGGTGGTTTTCACGTTACGTCATCGCCGCCATGCTGGTGGACGGTAAACAAAAGATCGTTCATTAGCTTGCCTTGTTTGTCCACCAGCATTTGTTCATTTCACTATTGTTATTTGTGTCTCCCGTAATTGCATGAAAACCACCTATTATGTAAGCTTACTCAAGTAGAAAGTAAACTTAATATTACCGGTAAAATAAAAGCTCATAATTTAATTATGAGCTTTTATTTGCCTAGTCCCTATACGGCGTCTTTCCAAGCCCTCTCGGTCAATGCATTTCGGTGACGTATCCGAGACGAACGGCCGGGAGACGCCTAGACAATCTCGGAGTGCGCATGCGTGAGCATTTTTGAAAAGTTCCCATGTTCAACTGAAATAATCTATAAATAACTTTGCGTGTGAATATCCTTGGCTTAAAGATCGGCACTATTAAATCTGGTTTCTGTTATCAAAGAACAAAAATATTGCTTTGAATTGGAAAGAATACTACGGTATAACGTGCAAGTAATTTCTCTTTTAGTTCATTTTTAAATGAACCATTAAAATGATATTTCTCTATTGATAAAAAGATTTGAAACAGTAGTTTGTTGACATTCTACCAAATTTAGAGACCAAATTCAACAGCCTGTCCAATTAGTTTGATAAGCTTCCAAATCGGAAAATTAAATTACATAAAATATTTCGAAGTGAAATGATAACGAGAAATTTATAGGAGCAAGCGAAAATAGAGAAACGAAAGATAGCTTTTCATATTCAAGATTAAATATAAACTTATTTCTTTAGCTTACCTTCTGATTCTTGATCAAATAATTTTTTTGCGACGCTGTTTTGCTTAGCCTACAAATAGTTTTTGAGATGAAATAAAGTTCAAATTAGTTCAATGAGATAAATGAAAAAGAAAGGCCAAAGGACTTTCAAGAGTGAAAACGTGCATAGAATAAAAATGCTCGGTTCAACTCTTTATCCTCTGTACTTTCCATGGCTGCTGGACATCTTTCATCAGCGCGGAAAAGTTATTGACAGCTCGCCCGCTTCCAAAAGCTCCTCCCCAAGTGAGACAAAATGTCTCACTTCTCCGAGTTTGTCTAGGCCTCAAAAACTTTCTCGGACCACGTGACCCGTCCACCTTTTGGATTTTATCTCGGTCCATAACTTCAGATTAAATCGCAGAAAAGAACTTGCTTTATCATTAGGCTTAATATTAATACAATATCTTATCAGGTGAAAAGGTTCGGAAGTGAGCACAGCAGATGAGTGATATAATTATTCTTCAACACTCAAGGAGGAATTTTGTACAGTTTATCTCCATGCACCCATGTAATAACCACTATTTATGTTAAAGTCAACTCTCTTAACCCCTTAAGTCCCAATAGTGACCAAGATCAATTATTTTCTCCTAACAATATCCATACATTGTCAACAGATAAGTCATGAGAATTGATAAAAAGATCACCAAAGAGAAAATGCCTTGATCTATTATCAAATTCTCTCAACTAATTCTTTATGGAAATGTATGGAGATCAGTTTGGAGAATTTGTATGCGGATAATGAGGCTGAAAGGGTTAAAGACGTGGCAAAGGATCCAAATATGAATTTTAATATATTTTAAAAAGATTTATAGAGAAGTGGGATAAAGTTTTTTAAATGTGACATTTCCTTGTTAACTCTGCTGTTCAAATTTCAGGAGGTGAATCTCTTCCAGTGTCATGTAATCCTACCTCAAGTAGAAGTGAGAGAAGTCAACAGAATAGTGCACCCAAGAAGCCCTTACCCAAGGTCATGAATGCAAGGCATCTCTCTGGTGGAAAGCGATCAAAAGATACAATTGATATGCACAGGAGCAGTGTTCCACAGGAGATTTACAGACCTTCTCCAGGCAGTATGTTCATCTTAGCTGTCACTTATGGACCTTTTGCATTAGTTGGTCACATAATCAACTTTCTGTTAACACAAAAACAGGTAGCTTTAGAAAAATGATTTTAGCAGGAACGGAAAGAGCATATTAAAACTAGGTAACCTGTAAATTTTCAGCCATATATCTCAAAAGTAGAAATGAAAGAAATAGCAGAAATCTGAAACTATTAACGTTTGTACAGTTGTATGGTTTTTAGGGGTAATTATTAAAGCTACAAGTGCCAAGGATGATAACAGTGTACAAATGACTTACTGAATTAATTTATGCTGGAGGTAGATAAGACATCAGAATGAATTTGGGAAAACAGTTTGTAAAGACATGGCCAGAGAAAAAGATCAACTATCTGCTCAGTTTATGCAATGAAAAAACACTAGAATAGTCCCTCCCCCCTCTCCTACCATCAAACATCCTGTTGACAGCATGGGACAGACATTGTGCAGTTCTTTGCTTCTTTGCAAAAACATTCCAATACATGTACCTCAAACACCTCATTAAAAAGGTCTTTTTTACTTTCCATTTCCTGGAGCAAGAGGGGATGGGAAAAAGAGAGACTTTGGAATCATAGTTAATGCGTTACATTGGACTGTGTTTTCAGAAAAGCCAGGCAAGATAAAGCAAATCCTGTGTTATGAATGGCTACCTGAGTGGGCGAGATAAACCCACTTGGAATTTCCCACATTGTTCCTGCAAGAAAAAGTTCGTTTTTGGCCATGTAATAAAACCTTTATTGGTCAAAATGGCTGAATGTTGGCCTCTCTTATTTTTTTGCACTTTTTACTGACCTTGAAAAATGCAAAAATACTTTGACCAATAGTTCAGCCATCTTGACCTCAAACTTAAAACATTATTTGCCTACCTGTTGGGTCTTTACAGCAAGTGTGGAAGCAGAATGTTGAAAAGTGAAATGTCTGATGTTGACTAATGTATATGTTCCCTTATAGAGTCTATTTCAGAGCAAGATAAAAGGAGGCTTCAAAATGTTATGGCCTATGGAGAGGATGGAAAAAATATTGAGGATATACCAAAGCAAAGACGACCTTCTCCCACAGCGAGGGCACAAGAAAAAGAAATTGATCGGTTTGATGAAGGTAAATATGACTCTGCCCACCTTGTTTAATTTCCTATACAGCCTCACTTTGTGTCAAACATTTCATTATTAATTAAGGTAAAGTTTGTACATAAACATTAATTTTATTGTTAATTGTGTCCACTTACTAAACATGCTGTTCTTGATTGGTCTGTCCAGCAGGTTTTATTTCACTGTGTGGCCTCAAAAAAATTGTAAAGCTCTTATTTCATGAAGTGGACTATTAATATGCTTTTTAAACTGCACTGGAAATAATTTTGTCAAATGAGATTTCAAGTTGCTGGTTAAACACAACAAGCACAAGTAGATGGGGAATCAAACAGATAGGGATTTCTTCTTTTTTTCTTCTATTTTTTGAAAGAACCAGGGGGTCACCTTCATGGTAGCCTTGGGATATCCCCAGCCCCCTACCCCGAGCCCTTAATGAGAGCCCTGATTTTTTTTTCATTTAGATTTGTATTCCCTCAGTTTGCATCATCCTTTTTCTCTGTTTCATTCCTTTTTCTTGTTGAGATGAACTCTACAAATTTGCCCACTCCCTTTCAATGAAAGGGTCTTCATAGTTCCTTTGGTAGGGAAGTGTAGCTACGTGAGGCCATGGTTTTAAATCCTGTTGAAGCCCTTAACTTTGTGTTTGGGCTCTTTTTTACTGCTATTAAAACTGCGATGGTCGTATCTTATCTTGGATAGATTTTTCATTCCAGCAGTTCACTTCTGTGATCTTCATTCTACTTTGCTTTGTATGCTGTGTTAAACAAATTTTTGATCATTTCTCATGTTTAGGATTTGACGTGCATCAATCAGCCTGGCTGTTTTGCTTAAATTGAAGTCTTCTCCACTCTTCTTAATCCACAAGATTTTATTTATAAAAATAAAAATTGAACCAAAATTGATATTTATTCTTGTTGTTTCGTCATGTAGTTCTTCAAGAAATAGAGGATAGGAGAGGCTTTCTAGATGAAATGGAAAAGCTTGGGGAAGGCAAAAAATACAGAACTATTATAACGACAGAGATATCACAGGTAATCTGATGCCATGACACTACTTGTAAAATAATAGTCTTATAATAAAAGGGATATTCAGTGGCGGATCTAGGGGAGGGAACCCTGTGCCCCCTCTTATTTTTAGACCAAACTGAGGCCCAAAGGGCCAAAAAAATTTTTTTGGGGGGGACCGGGCCTCCCTTATCTAAGGTTCTGGATGACCCCCCCCACCCATCTCAAGGTTTGGATGGAGTTTGGTCTTCGAAATTAAAGACGGTAATAAATATTATAGCTTAATAAGGGTCTGGTAAGTAGGTATGGAGACTTCCAACATGTGCAATTACGCGTTGGTTATCGATTACGCTTGTTTACAAATATCTCCTTTCGAAACAGTGATTTTATAATGTTCCTGGACCATTCCTCCAAATAAAATTGGCAAACATGCACAAGAAAACATTTTCCTAATAAAATTACCAAAAATCCTTCGTGTGTTTGCGCAAGATATGTTTTATGGAAACATCGACTTGTCAACGACTTGTCAATGTCGGCAACTTAAACTAAACCTGTTGTCAACGCAAATTAATATGTATTGTCTAATGACCAATCAAATGCCTGTGTTGCTGGTACAATGCACTCCTTGAACGCGAGCTGCAGTGATGTTATTACAGTCCCTCTATTTTTCTCATCCCCCCACCCAGAGCTATAATCCCCGACGCCTGCCCCCTCGGTACATTTGAAAATCAAGATACCTGTGACGGTAAGACACGGTATATCTAAGCGATCTCGCTAATAAATAGGGGACTGTGAACAGTCTAGTTTGGGTCTTACATTATACACATTATGGAAACACAGTGAATAATAATTGCAAAAAAAACTATATGAAAGAATACCTGGAATAATGCTGCAAGTGTCTTGTGATAAACTGCTAGTTTTTCCTTCTAATTTGCAAGTCTTAGCTAAAAAAAAGGCAGAAATAAGGGAAGGTTCCTCCTCGCTTCCTTGTTTGGCATGCATGGGCTTGCTGCTGGGTTCCAAAGAATACTTGGGGGTTATGTTGTTATGAACCCTTTCCAGGGCCATCGAGAAGGGCTGCTCAGGGTGAGTGATAAAATGCTCATTTAAACTAGCCTCTTAAGCTAACGACTTGGTTGCCATGGAGGTGGCTTTGTTTGCTTGGCTCTCCTCAGACCACTCGTCTTTGCATCCCTTTGCTATTCATTATCCCAAAAGCATAGAACACGACTATTCTCTGCCTAATGGTTGAATCCAGCATTGCCATCTCTTCAGTGTTGAATACATTATAAACCCACATATAAGAATCTAGAATTTTGAGGTCAGGCTGAACAGGTTCTTATATTTTAGGGTAGTTTTTCACAATTCAGGCTGATTAGGTTCTTATTAGGTTGTCGTAGTGTAGCCATTGGCAGAAATATTGTACTACTAATACATAATACTTGATGGAAAACATATACACTATAACTTTTTGTTAGAAGTTTCTCACACAATTAAAATCCAGAATTTGACCATCAAAATTGGAGTGATTTTTTTTGTATAAGAACCTATTTTTCTTTACCAGGCTGAACAGGTTCTTATATTTTTGGGTATTTAAAAGCCAAATTTCAGACTGTAGGTTCTTAAATCACTAGGTTCTTACATGCGGGTTTTTACTGTAGCTTTAAGGTGCCAAGGTTGTTTCTGACTAACTGTCCAGCAGTTGCCTGCTTTAATCCTTGATTGGTACACCACTGATTGAGATCAAAACTTCCGTCCACATGTACCGGTGCTTATTGATATTTAAAATGTATGATTATGCCATGTTAAATTTTTTATTATTGTACTTTCAGTTGGGGAGTAGTAACGGGCAAGGGAACATCATGCCCCTTAATTGATTGGCCTAGGTTTATGACTCAGTAGAAGTAATAATTATAAGTGTTGTTCCTCTTTCCACAGAAAATACGAGAACTTGAGCTTATTGATAAAGAAAGAAGCAAAGAACTCAATCTTGCTGAACAAAACCAGTGATGAACCTCATGGAATAAAGGATTGATTTGGTTTAGAACAAAGCAAAATTTCTTACGATGTGCTACACATGGGATACAAAATAGGCAGTGTCTTGTAAGATATATTCCTTTTGTTGGCTCTTCAAATTGGACCATTTTCATAAAGATGGCTGCTGAGAGATACAAGACATATTACTTGACAGTTTAACTCTTGTGCAGTGTGCAAAACAGAAACAATGGAAATGATGTACAAAGCAAGTTATAGATAATCTACAAACAGAATCCAGTGGCAATCTTCAGAGCTGTCTCATCTGCAAACAAGTGAGATGAGCAAAATGGCTGCCAGCATGACCTGTAAACCTTTTTGTTTGACTGCTTGAATGTGTCAACTGAAGTGCTTGCAGGCAAGTGATGTTAAGGTAACTTGGTGACATAAAAAGAAGACTTCAGATAGAAGTTCTACGGGGTGATCGGCTCTAATGTCAAACAGTAAAAGGTAAAGCAAACGGTCTCACACATGTACAGCTGCTTGTATTTACCTTGTAAAAATATAACTCTTTTTATTCATTAAACTAGATTTATCACAATGTAAAATTCTGTGTCTGAAAATGTATTAATTATTAATATATACAAGTTTTACTATAACAGAATAATTTTATTTTTTTGGTTTTGTTACAAAATACCCCTTTACTCCTTATCCTTGCTACTTAAATTTTGTGTAGCTCATGGATAGTGATAATTAATTGGGGATTTAGTAGCTGTAAATACCACTTGCTTTTGTTCACAATTTTCTGTACTTTCAATATTTTTAGGCGTTGTTAAGAATATCAGTGATAGGGATTTTTAAATGCCTATCACTGATATTCTTAATAATGCCTATAAAAACTAAAGTGCTCAAATCTGATTGGTTATAACTACACCCAATAAGAAGTGTGCTTTAGAGTACATGAATGTCATCATTCACTGTAACAGAACACTTGCACTCTGATAGGTTATTTCCCCATACATCTAGTATAACTATTTAATTTTAAGTATAATCTAAGGGCCTGTTTACATGGACGTGCAAATAGAGTTTTAAATAATAGGTGAGGTAACATTTGGCAGGTCACCCCACCTATCATGTAAACGTGATCATATTAAAATGATGAGATTACATGGGTCCCCCACCCCCCTGCATACATACTCTACCATTTCCTGGGCCCGGGTTCCTGGGCAGACCATTATAAACAAATTATAATATCAATCTCAGATCTTTCAACTCTGTGTGTAATCATCTTCATGGTTGAACAAGTCAGATCTTGCAGGCACTGTAATCTCATGTTGTTTAAACAGCTGCAAGATTACACACTGAGCTGGACTTAGTCCTGCTATTATCATCAGCTTTTATTTTGGATCAAAGGAAAATACAAATAATAACCCAGTTTTGGTTAGACAATAAATTACCAGGGAACTACCGTAAAACTATATTTCTAGTAACTAAGGCCTCGTTTCAAACGACCCTTCTCAACTCTTGCTCTGGTGAGTACTGTGAGGAAGCTACTGCCTTTAGTAGTGGCAAATGGCACAGATTCCACCTTATTTCAGAAATGCTTATAACTGGACCCTATATACTTCATATCACATATAATAACATGTTGTACAGAAACTTTAGTAGTCTTTGGGTGAGGATTTGGTCTGGGGACATTTTGTGATGTCTAACACTAAGTGCAAGAATATTGCCAGCACAGATTTCTGAACACAACTTGGTAACTAATTCCAACCCTCACTGAAGCATTAGTGACTTCTACTTCCATCTTTAAGTCTTGAATGTATTGCCACAAAGTCTTGAATTTTCAAACAGAGATTTTAGCCTCTCAACACATCTCGGATTTGACCATTTCCCACAACCAGAGGGGAATGGGGACCCTTCATTGAGCAAAGAGCTGAGAAACTGAGGTCTTTGAATATAAGGAAAACATGCAAGGGTCGGTTATTTACACGAAGTCTAACTTAGACCTCCGTTTGGGAAATCTCTGGGAGACCTCCAGATCTCTTTCTTAGTAGGTTATTTTAAGAAGACAAAATGTTTCTTCAGTCTACACTATATGTTTTCATGAAACTGTTCATGATAAATGGTGTTTCCATAAAAGTGTTAGGCAAACTGAAAATGTCTTAGAATACAGTTTTCTTTAACACCAGCTAAACTCAGTTTAAATAACTGGCCCTAAGCATCTTTTAAGCCAAGGATGGCAAACAAAGGTACATGTAATAGGTTCTATCTGACAACCTATCACAATAGATTAGTAAGTAATATTATCATAGATTAGTGACCATGGTTTGTTCTCTCTTTAAGAATTTACTTCACATCTTTCTTCTTTTTTGGAGAGATTTGCACACGAGTTGATTCAAGTAAATAAGTAAAACCTGTAAACATCTGTAGACCTCCTTTCTTTCCTGTATTAAAAGCCAGTATTAAATAAATTGCAGAATACATATATGCCAACTTTCCCGGATTATCCAGGAGTCTCCCAGATATGACACCAATGTCCTGGTCTACGGTATGGGTCACCAAATCTCACGGATAAAATGGAAGTGTTGGGCTTTTCTGTGCTTTAATTTGGAATTTCTGGGTAACTTTTCTTGCTGAAACCTCGAAAGACTTGGAAATAATCATCATAACTATTGTACTGAGTTTCACGAATAGTCTTTCATGCACTAGCCTTTATTTTAGCCTTAAGGCTAAAATAAAGGCTAGTGCATTTAAGACTATTCGTGAAACTCAGTACAATAGTTATGAGGATTAATTTGGAATTTATATCCCATTTTCTCCCAAAGTTCGATTTTTTTATTGATAGTTCAGTTTCTGAGGCATTTTTGCACATATTTCATGACTGACAAAGATTATTTTGCTACTACGATCATAAAAGTGAATCTTGATGGTCTCATGTAAGACATCATAAATTGTCTTAAGTCTCCAGATTTTAGATTTCCAAAGGTTGGCATCTCTGGAAAATGCTGTAGAAGAGCCTGTATACCAAGTTTAAGAATGGAGGGGGTGGGTGGGTGGAAATGATGGAGAGTAGTAAAAATTGAAAACCCTTGTAAAAATAATTATAAAACTATAATAAATCTCTAACCTATCTAACATCATTAATATATTTTGCTACATGATTACATGCATATGGGGCCCTTTTAAAATATTTATACTAGATGGTGCTTTTTGAAATGATACGGATCATTCCTTTTTTGTATAATGTGTAAACAATTACATGATATTATTAAATTGTTTAGACTTACATTACATGTAGTTAATGGTAAAAAAAAAATCAGACTTCCTACAGACCTCTCAGTGACTTTTGATGCCTAGACGAAGTATTGTTTTTTTTTTTTTCAAATACAAGAAAGTTGATACATTAAATAAGAGAAAGGATCTTGTATCAAAGAGAAACTAACAGTTATTTAACACAGGAATATGAATGCATCAGTAAGATAATAAAATTGGGGATGTTCATTTCATGCAATATGTCTACTGTGAAAACTTTCATAGGTCCTCATCCAAGAAAGAGGATCAAGGTTATGTTTAATACATTTCCATATCATTGTACACCAGTGTTCCAGCCAGAAAATTGTGCTTGAGGGCCAAAGTGGCCCGTATAACCCATTTTTGGGGGCCAGATATTTCAAGAAAGGGCCAATGTACCAGTATCTCTCTAATATGCAAAAGAGAAGAAGCAGTTGGAAAGTTAAGGAAATCAAAATGTCAGTTTATTTGAAGCTTACATGGAGCGTCCCTATTTATACACGTCCCTTTTTATCCTTTTTCGAGACTCCATGATGGATACCCATGAGCTTCTGCGATATTACAAAAGCCAAGTCGAGGTTTAGTGGTCTCCAGACCACTCAACGTAAATCAGGTAAACCGATTGATTTTCATGTTGCGTACAAAGGTACGGAGTCGTTGTCTTTTAGATTAAAAATTCTGTTTAATTAGGAAATTATTGTAGTTGAAGTAACGGAGACCATTTTAAGCCCAGGCAATTAAAAAAGGAACGGGCCATAATGGCCCTTGAACGCTTTTGATGGGGGCCATCTCTCGATCTTTTGCAGGATTCACGCAATGGCATGCTCTGGCTGAAACACTGTTGTACACCCTAATCAAGTGAAGACAAGATATATTACACACATATTCTTACAGAGTTAAAAACTAACAGTCTAAAACTAACAGTAAAATCTTGAAAATGCAACTTTAGTGCAATCTGGTCTCTGATCCCAGCAGTTGTCAGGTAATGCAGCTATACCTGCAAAACAAAATGAGCATAATTTTACTCAAAATTGGCTTAACAGCCTTTTTAGAAGTGCTGCTGGTCAGAGATGTTTCAACAGGAAATCATTCCCATGCAGGGTCATGATTTTGAAATTCCTTTTTATCAGTATGTTGAGGTAATCCTGGTCAGGGGCCCCTTTCTCGAAAGTCCCGCTGACTTTATGGGCCCGAAATCAAATATTCAAATCGAAATATAAAGAATAAGAGCGCGGGTCCTGGCAAGCAAACTACTCTATTTTGTTTCATTAACTGACAGTTTTATCATGTTAGATGCAAAACTATTGAAACCTCTATCTTTAATGTAAATGGAGACAGCTTACCGGGCCCGTTAATTATCAGGACTTTCGAGAAACAGGCTCCAGAGGCCTTAGTGCTAAAAACAGTTCCATGGCCTGACCAGGCAAAATGGGATTAGGGCATAATCAAGCTAGTGCCGACATTCTCAGATGGATACTGCATCGGTTGACTGTTGACTTACCATCTGTTAGTGCCTGCTCAACCTTCTCATCCTCCTGGATTTCCCTTAAAAAAAAAAAACAATCATAACAATTATTATTAACAGGCTGAGCAAAGTAATAGCTTATACATCTTAATAGTGCCTTACTCTACTCCAAAGGGAGATATTGGACTAGCCAGAGTGGCTTTTTGACTATATAACTGACTGGCTGATTGTTTGGTTGACTGACAGCTGACTGACTGACTATATCTAGCTGACTGACTGACTGACTGACTGACAGGCAGACTGCCTAAATGTCTAGATGTGAGTTAAGACTCATCATTCAAACCTTTCACAGTTTTACTTATCATTCAGTTTTTTAAATAAAGGTATGATTATGGCAGTGTGATAGCAATTTACGCAATTGAGAATTCCCCCCCCCCCCAAAAAAAAAAAAAAATTACGGCTTCAATGGGATTCAAGCCCATGGCCTATGCGTTAGCACTGCAGTGCTCTAGCAATTGAGCTAATGATGAAGACACATACATTGAGAGGAGGCCAATTTTTTCAGTTTATTTCAACTGGATAAGGGAATGACACATGAAATGAAGCCACTGATGAAGTGAACTGCAGAAATACAAAATTAGATGAAGATATGATTGTTGCAGTGTAATAATTTGAGAAAAAATATTTCAGGTTGATTTGCAATTGCTTAAATTGCTATTACACTGTGATGATCATACTTTAATTGAAATTTGTATTTCTGCAGCTCTCATCAACCATGGCTTCATTTCACTCATCAATTTATCATTATTAAGATCAAGGCAGCTTGTCAGGCTGCTTAACAGTTTGGCTGTCTTCTGGCTAAAATGAATTGAGGACACTTAAATAAATACCTTACTCTTTCTTCCTCCAGACTGTCCACAATAAAGCTTCTCTTCTGAACAAGCTCCAGCAACTCAGATAGTAACTCCCGTTCTCTCTTTAGGTCATCAGACGATTTCACTTCATCTGTTGATTACACAACAAGAAAACCTTCAAATTTTGGAGGGTGCTGCAAGTCCCAAACTTTCCAGCTTGAAAAAAGGTTTTCTTGCAACCAGATTTGCAAGGGGGCAGGGAATGAATAAGCTCCCTGTTTATGTCAGGTAGCAGATGGAGACAGATGGGACCTTAAGTTAATGCCAGGTCATTGATCTTACTTCTGCACCCTTCCCACTGCTACATTATATAGCATTACAACCGAATATATACTAGCAGGGGAGAAGTTTTGAAAATTAACATGAAAAGGATATTTTTATAGAATTCATCATTGTATGATCATATGTTTACATGATCGATAAACCTCTTTTTATTGATTACCGTATCAAAATGTGACACGGACAAATTTGATGCTAATTACTGATTACCAGAGTTTAAGATAATAATTAATATTTATTTATACACTCAGAATCCACTTGGCAGCAGTAAACCTCACCTCTCATGGCCACAAGTTTTCTTAATTCTCCTTCCACAGTTCGGTATCTCTCCTCATAATTGTGAGACTGAAGTCTGAAGTGAGGATAACAAAAAAGAATTTAATGAAAAGTAGTTTACATTTGTTGGAAATTAAAGACATTTTAAATACTCATCAAAAATGAGAAAGATGTTTTTTCAGTCAACGACACAGGCCATGAGGTGGCTCGGAAGAAAAAATCCCATTCCCCCCAAAACAAATCAAATATGGCCTTAATGAGTTATCATAAGCAAAAAAAAAGTGAAAGAATAAGGGAGTAATCCTACAAACGTCGTCAACACCAACAACTGACCAAAACAAGTAGTTAGTCAAACATGGTCCCAGCATCTGCACACAATATCAAATTAAAGAGACTTTGATGTGACAAATATATTAACAAAGAGCATCAAGTTCATCTCAGCTCATTAAAATGTTACTTACAGGTATATCAGCTCTGATTCTCTTCTCATGATCCTGTTTTTATTGTGTACCACACCAAGCCATTCCTGCAAAAGTTCTTCTTCAGCTTCATTTATATCTCCATCAGCTGCTAAATGTAGTTGCAAAACCATGACAGTACTCAGTACAGCACAAGTAAGCCACTCAAACAACAAATACTGCCCCAAAAGAAAATTAAACTAACTAATCATGATGTGTGGTGTTGAAGCTATTTCAAGGTCTCACTGGATTGGTCGTGAAAACATTATAAAGAAGCAAAGTTAACAACAGAACCTTGCACTAAAACAAAATAAACTTCAACTTACAAGTTTTTAAGAGCTACCACACTGATGCTTAATTACAACAGTCTGCTGTGCACTTATACAAACTTCAAAATGGCCAAAACCATAGTCAGGTTCAGTGTTTCCTTATTTTAAAAGCTAAGAATTTGAGACCCTATCACTACTTTCAAACATGCATCAGTCTCATTATTTTTCATAGACTATTCTACACTCGTAAGAATTCAAACACGCGAGTCAATAAACTGTTCCCTTCTCAGTTTGTGGAAAGAACAGGGTTAGCACAGTCAGTTCAGGTGATTGCTGATGTTCCTCCCTACACTAAAGCCAAAATTTCTAAGTTAATTCCAATAAAATCAGGGATGCATCGGAGTGCCACAACAAATAATACTTTCAGGGTTTGCAAATTATATTGATGAGTGGAGTCACTGTGACTTCTGCTTCACAAATGTTGGCGTCATTTTGGAATATTTGGAGTCAAGTATCACAACGAAAAAAGCCATTTTCAGACTTCCAGCACGTGATGCTGGCATGTATACATTATCGTGAGGGATACACGAAGTAGCTGTGGCCGTCCGCTGACTTGGAAAGCTCAAATTCATGATGGCGGTCATCGAGTAAACTTTGATCGTAATTTACCCTCTTCCTGTTTTGTTGTGCAGTATAATTCTTTAATTTTGATGATTTAATTAAGGTTTATGACGTTTACAATATTAATGTAAATTGTATTTGTTGCGAAAAAAACTGTGTTTTTTACCGAAAATTTCTCGAGTCGAAGTGGCTCCCTGTTTGTTACCAAAAATTTTTGGAGTCAAAGTGACTCCCTCCGTAACCTCTGTGGAGTCATCTGAACAATTTTGGCGTAAAATATGCCAAATTTGGCGTATTTGCGAACCCTGTATAATATTATAAGTCAGCCATAAAAACTGCTAATAAAGTCAATTAATTGGTTGTTGAGTTACTTACGGCCCATGGTCTCTCTTAAGCTGTGCTCAATGTCCACGCCTCTTCTTTCAAGAATTCCATGCTGTGTTTCTAGAGCTTGTAACTCAAGGTCAATCTCGGCTGGAGAAAGTGTCACCTCATCCTCTTTGATAAGATCAGTTTCATTATATCCACTAATCTTGGCATCACGATGCAAAGATGTAATAGCTTCCCTTTCTGCTTTGCTAGTTTTACTTTTTTCTTTCCCAAAACTAAACTCTCCCTCAACTTCCATCACACATTGATGCTCCTCTGCAATTCTATACTCCTCAAAATCCCAAGGTTCCATGGTTTCCACAGTAAAAAATCGACTGTTTATTTTAGTTGAAGAAGCTTCCTGAGCAATGATAACAGACATTCTCGGTGAACTACATGATGAACTAGTATCAGTGAGAGATGCCGTGCTACCAACCGTTAAAGGAAGTGTCCAGGACACCTCTACTGGTGAATAATCCCTTTCTGGTGACAAGGAATTTTGTTGAACATCCGTCCCTGACGTATTTGACAGTTGTTCATTTGGTGTTAAAACAGGACTTTCATTTCCAGCAGTGGATAATACTGTTGAAACTTTCAAACTTTCACCAGATACTTTTTCATCAGGTACATTGTTTTGTGCATACAATGGCATGTCAATTCCACTGTCATGCGATGCTGCATGCCTTTTTAAACCAGGAGATGACCGGTCTCCAGCAGAAAGCTCAGGAGAGGCTGGCTGTACCTGAAGTGATGGAACGTCATTTGTGACCTCTTCAGACTTAATCACTTTGTAAGTTACTGTCTTCTGAGGCATACTTTTAGTTTCTTTTGATGATGGTGTACTTTCACTCATTTGACTGTCACCCTGTCTGTTTTCTTGACTGTTATCAACATGTATGACAACCACATTATCATTTGTATTGAGAGACTCACTTCTTTTACTAAGACTTTCCTCAGATTCATCATCAGCATTCTCAGATGAACCTAAATTTTCTCCCTTAATTTCTGGCTCTGTTTTCTTAGTTCCTGAAGAAATGGCTTTTGTTTCTGGAGCGCTAGTTTTTCGTTCCATGTTCACTTTTGCTTTCATTGATTTGGACCTTACCCTGAAAGGAATTTCATCAGAAGCCTTCTCTTTACCAGCTTCACTTCCCATGTACATTTTCCTCAACTCTTTCACACTTCTGCGATTGCTGCTAAGACCTGGCTTGCGGGTTTCTGCTGTCTTTCCTGCAAAGTTTGCAGAAAGTCTTCTAGATGAAGTTACCTGAGAGTCAGTTTGCTGCTTCCATGCAGAAATACATTTCAGCTCCCTCTGCATTTCACTGCTTTTTCTGGCAATGATGGTCTTGTGTTTTTCATCAATCATGTCATTGATATTGAGAAACTTCTCACGCAACTTTTGCACACTTTTGGGCACAACGACCGAAGGATCAATATCACCCAGAATACTACCCTTGCGTGATCCACTTCCTCTTCTCGAATCACTATTTACACTTGCATCAGAATACTTCCTTTCATATGAATGTTTTCTTTCACTATCTGTCACCTTATCTTCCTCTTGTAAGTTGCTCTCTGCCCTTTTTTCAGGGTCTTCTAAAAAATCATTTTTTTCCAGGACATTATTATTAATTTTTGCCTCATATCCACCTTGCAGTGATGCTACTAAACTTGGCTTGCAGTCATTTTCTATTAACTTACTTTTGTCTGCAATATTACTATCATTTTTTGCTTCATTGCGGTCATCATTTGATTCACTTTTAGCTGCTCTTTTAAGCAACTCTTCTTTAAAAGTTGTTCTTTTAAGCAACTCGTCTTCGACTGCTGCTCTCTTTAGCAGCTCTTCTTTGAATGAAAAAAAGAGGTTTTCTGTCGGCTTTTCATAAACACTGTCTTCTCTAGTTATCTTTTTTACATCCTCTTTAGAAAACAGACTTTCCTTGCTTTTGTCAACGATCACTTCTTTCTCCTTTGAAACCAAATCCGGTTGTGTGGATGATGCTATAGAACCTTTGATTGTTTCCTCTTTATTTAAACCACCACCTGGGACATTAACTTTCTCCTCTATTCCATTCCTTAATTGAGTCCCAGGAGCTCGTCGTTTGTGCTCTGGAGACCAGGAAGCTTTTTCATGTTCTAGAGACCTGACATATTTTCCTTTTCCCTCACTTTTGCTTTTCCCTCTGCCATTTCCTGAAAATCTCCTTTTCTTTTCCCCTTTGCTTCTGTGTTGTGACAATGAAGGTTTCTTTGATGAATGTGTGTGCTTTTGGCTTTTAGCTACAGTGTCCTTCCCTAATGGCTGTGGTAGTGCATTTAACCTTATTGTATTTCTTTTTACAATGGAGAATTGTCTTTGGAGAGAGCTTTTCTCCTGCCCAGGTGAATCATTTACATGCGAATTGTCAGTTGAGGATTTGGAAGGTGAATTCTTTTGAGAATAGGCTTTCTGTGCTACATCTGGCATTGTTTCCAGCTTAATTTTAATAGGAGTTTCTCTTTTTCCTGTTGGTTAAAAAAAATCAAAGTATGGTTAGATAGGAATGCAGAAAAAGAAATGTCAGTTAAAGAGAAGGTGTATGCTTAAGAGCACTTTCTATATATGAATAGGTCTCTCTTGCATTGGGAGCTAGGGTGGGACAGCAGTGAGAGCCATGTCTCCCTCCAATGTGTCCCAGGGTTCAAATCCCGACATCTATGCCATATGTGAGTTGAGTTTGTTGTTGGTTGTCTCCTTTGCTCCAAGAGGTTTTTCTCCAGGTACTCCAGTTTTCACTTATCCTCAAGAACCAAATCCGATTTGACCAGGAATCGGGTAGATGAATAACCACTTTGTGGAAGTGCTACCTTTATATGGTTATTTATATATTTATTTGGGCCTCCATTTTAGAGAAATGATGATCACAATCACAACATTAAGTAATACAGTGCCGTGATACACCGGGAAGAACTAGCTGATCACAGTGGAAGCCCCTGTTTATCCCAGGCATCTCCGACATCATGTTTTACAAAATAGTTGGTAAATGCCCCTTAAATAATTTAAGGTTGACATTTATAACACCTTAACCCCATTTATGTGGTAATGCAAACACAACAGAGCTTAGCTCAAAGTTACGTGCTGTCTGGAGATAGAAGCAAGGGGCCTAGTGATTTTTTTTATTCCTACAAGGGTCCCATCTGCAGGGAAAAGTTCTGTGAGAAGGAACTACGCTTTTTGGTCTTCATTAGAGAAGGAAAAAGGACCTAACTATTTGTATATGTGAAGCAAAGGCAGGTCGGGGCTTCTCCTCAATTTATTTTTAAGACCATGAATGTTGCCTCGGAAAGGAATCTAACCAAACACAATTGCTACAGTCAGTCACCCGACCAATCAGCTAATCAGCAGGTAGCAGTCAATAACTTACCCCCTCCACAATCAAACAAGCAGCAAAACTTTTCTGTTTCCAGAAAATAATGGTATGTTCCTGGTCGAAGGCAAGCATTGCACTTATCACATCTGAAACATCCTCGGTGGAAAAGCTTCCTTTCTGCAATTAACCTCTCCATGATGTAGACTCTTTTGTGGCAAATACAGCAATCATTTCCAAGAAAAGGTGATTTCCTTGCTGTACCTGGTGAGGATTCATCAGATGAATTCCTGCTCTAGATAAACAGAAAGTGAATCACTAAAAGTGAATCATTTTTATGGTGACAGAAAAATATTATCAACAACAACAACAACAACAACACTTTATTTCACCCCATAATATACAAGAAATAAAAATTTATAACAATAGTACAGACGATGATAGGGGCGCTGGCTGCCCGAAATAACCTAAGAGTTAAAAATGCCAGGCAGCCAGTTAAAAGAAAAGATGTTTAAATGTTTAGGTCAGGGACACAAGAACAAAGAAAACAGAGAAACGCACACAAAGAGTTAAGTAAACTACCAGTATATTAAAGAGACTAAAATTCATACGGCATACTGGTAGACACTCACAATATTAAACAGATATAATATATCACACGCTACAGAACACTAGACTCAAATTCACTACAATTTCCTCAAGAGCGAAGAAATAAGCAGCCATCTTGTCCACTGACCGCTGACCAGCACAATTACTGAAAAATTAGTTTAAAAGGGTGTTACCAATATAAAATTTTCATTACACTCTAGACACATCCAAATGACTACCAAGGAAAGGAATATACTCTTCACTGCCACACTTACTGTTTCCAAGTTTGTTCTTAGAGGATCCACACCTAAGTACTTGCCATGCTCTTTGCTCTTCGACGATTCCTCCTTGGCATCTGATTTAAAGACACTTCGTAGAGCTGAAGCAACTCTTTTTGCATGACCAGAAAGAATGTAGATCTGATTGGAAGGTGACGTGCGCTTGCTTCCTTTGTGGCCTTTAGATTCAGTTCTTGTCTTGGGCTGAATGTTCATCTTTGTGGCATAGCCCTGGTTTGCTGCAAATACAAAAATAAACATACACACTTTATAAACATAAATTAGTATTTAGAGTTACCTCACCATTATTTATGGAGGGTCTGTCTCATGGTGGAAGAGCCAGACCACAAACCAGGTGTAGAATATGCATGGATAAGTAATGTTGATAACATGCATGATTATTTCCAGTAAGAATTATTGACCATGTGCTTTCTGTGGCACTCTCAGTCTACAGTTCTACCGATTAAACGAGTTCACGAGTTAATAATTGTGGCTTGGGCTGGTTTTCTTGTTCCAAGGGTCTTTAAAAAAATTAACTGGTAGTATCATACAGGCTGCGATGTTAAAACTTTTCATCACCTTCTCTCATTTATCCCTGTACACACTATTGTACAAAAAAGTAGGGGGCCATAGATCCCAAGGTGTGGTCTATTTTTCAGCTTTATGCTGTAGAATAAAATAATACTGTATATTTAGGGACCAAACTCAAGAGCTCTTCGTTATTTTTTCTAGTAGTAAACAACTATATCTCCTTCAAGAAATTAAGAACCTAAGTAAGAACCTACTTGGCCTAAATTGCCAATAACTACTCCAAAATAAAAGAACCTTTTTTGTCAGACCTCAAAAAATGTGCCTTCTTATAATTTATTATTAGCAGGTGTTTACTGTACCCTACAAAAATTGGCAAAGCTAAAAAGTTTAAGTTGCACTGAACTGAAATACTGGCAGTACTGACAGCTTATACTTTGCAACATTTTTCTAATCAACAAAAACATTGAATTGTAAAAATTCTGAAAGGTTTTACTTTCCAACACAGAAATGATACAATAACTCTCTTAAATAAAAGCTGAGCAGTGTATCACCTACCAGGAGATCTGTTCTTGAAGTACTCATAAAGCTGTGACACATATGTAATAACACTCAGCTTATCTGGAATGGTATTCTCTAACATGTCACTCGCATCAAGTACCATAGGGATGCCCAAGTGTTTTTCAGCCACACTGAAAGCCTGTCATGTTAAGAATTAAAGATACGATTATACCTGACTAGTGCAATCCATAAAAACCAATAGCCGAAAACCAATCAATAAATTGATAATTGTCAATAATCACTTTTTGATTGATTTTGATTGTATCAGTCGATCAATAGAAATTGATAGCAACAACTTTTTTGAAAGTGAAGAATGATCATCGCAGTAAATTTTCCAATTGAAGCAATTGGAAAGAAGAAGCCTGAAAAAAATCAGGGCTTCTTTGTCAGCGCTATCGATTTTACCGATTTCATCATCTTTCATTATGCCTTCAAGTTTTAAAAGTCTCGCATTATTTTACAGTTCACAATATTAGCAATTATGCAGATGTTTTGTGTTTTAAATGATGATCATGATTCTTCTCTGACATTTTTATCAGGTTTTATAGTCATGTCACATCTCTTGCCTTAATAATGCTTTTACAGTATGATTTTTCAAGAAGCAAGGGTCTTGCTGACAAACTCTATGTACACTGATCAGTATCCTCACCACTTGAACTATAAAGTGTAGGGTTCAACTTGAACAGTTTCCAATGCAAGCAAACTGAATCAATTGTTTATGTTAAGTTTACTCTCATTCTTAATTCTTTTTTATTTTGTCGTTTGGCCGAAAATGTCTCATTAGAATATTGATTGTAAATTGTAAAATAAATATCAATTAAAATTTATCTGTCCCATATGTTCCGGAAACAACAAACTTTGACAACGTAAAAGCTAAAAAACATGGAAATTTAAGTGCCGATTAAAATAGATAACTTCGATAAAAATCTATTAATATTGGTAATTACCGATTAGCAACAGCTTTCTCCTAAAAACGTTTCCCACCAGATGAGAATGAAGCCTACTAAATGCCCAGCAAAAGAAAAAAAATGAGTCAAGAAAAATGAAAAAAGAGGGAGCAGAGAAAGCGAAAAGCAAAAAGACATGACTGCTGGGTCACTTTTAAACCCAAAATCTCGAAATTTGGCTTTGAATATTTTGCATCTGGATCAGAAGGCCGCGAAGTGTATGACCTGTAAACAGCTTTGTGGTAAGTTTTAGCTCTTAATAGCACAACAGTGACCAGAAAACTGCTCGACTAGCTTCAAAACGCGTTTTTCGGCAAAATTTCCAGGAGCGAATGGGTTAATCAGCAGATTCCTCCTGGGTTCCATGGGTATCCACCTAACACAGGTTAAATTTTTCTGTTCTACTTGGAAATAATTTTAGAAAAGTAACAATTGATGCACATTTACTTTTTTTACTTGGCCTTCCTCCATCATTCACAGAAATCATTAAGAAAAGTGCAAATAGCTTGGCTCCTTCTTTCTGTCCAACATCCCCATTCATGAACAAAAGTTGCGGTTTAATTTTTTGTTTGTTTTGTTTTTGGTTTGGCTTGTTTTTGCACTAAAGAAAATGAAAATTAAACTGGTTCGAAAAATGCCAAACCAAACAAAAAATTAAACCACAGTATGTACATAACGTAGAGAATCAGAATATGCAAATTAGGTGAACATTATGATACAGTCACACCCCATATAATACGGACACTGTGGGGGCCATAGAAAGTGTCCATATCAAGGAGTTGTCCGTATTAAGCGGATTGAATTCAGAGGAAATGTAAGGGCTAGGGACAAGTAAAACTGTCCATAGTAACAAGGTGCCCATATTAAGCCACTGTCCATAAAGCGGGGTGCGACTGTATTAAAAATAAGAGATCGATTCAGCGCCCTCGGATTAACAGTCAATTATTTCACTTTCAGAAGTTTGTAAAGGGAGTCAATATAAATCTCAAGATTTACTTTTATTTCAGTGTCACGACATAACGATTGCTACATAAGAGATCGCAAGTCAACTTTCAGGAAATAAACCTATATTCTAAATAACCTATCAATCTGTTTGTTCTGATATTGGTTCGGGTACGTGCTGCAAACGAACAGCAACTGGAAAAAAAAAGACACAAACTGTACGATCCGGAATGTGTTTTTTAAAAAAAGTATGCTAATTCTATGTAGCTTATCGTCTAGTGAACGTCGCCGTCCGGAAAGAGAGAAATCTGACAATATCATTTGTTTGGTTTGCCAACGAGCAGGGCGTTCCGCTTATTTCTTCAAGTTTATAGGGTCTATTCTAATTGTTTTGACACCAGTAATGAAACAATAAACTAACAAGTGGATAAATAACAGGTCTGTTGACCATGAAAAACGCAATTATTTTGCCAACAGTGAGTTCAAGAGTTGACACTATACTTGAAATTTTTCGGATTACACGCACTTAGTTTCAACTATTACTTACCAGTTCATTGTTAACCATGATGTTTTCTTTCGAAAGCCTGTCAAAATCTCTAAATTAGATCAAAAGAAAGCACATTCTTAACATATGAGCTGAACAATGCCGCATTTTCGCCGGCTCGGTGCAAACACCGTGAAATGAAGCACAACTTGAGATAGTTTGAACTTACATCAAATCCGGTCTGAAATGGTGTATAATTGCACAAAATGCCAAGCCATCTCGCCATGAAGTTGTCATGTTGATCACGTTCACTTCACTGTAGCTTTCCGTCTGTTGTCGACACCAGAGGAGTAATGCCTGTGTCCCGGAAAACGCCATATTTGCACCCGTTTTTTCTGTGTTCATGTCAAAACCTTTGTACGGCTCTTCGTCGATGCTTGTTTCTAAAAGTAGTTCAGGCATGCGAAGATGGGATCAGCTAACTTGCCTTTTGCAAATAATGTTCACCATCGAAACTCGACGTGCAATAAGCAATAACATTTATAAACGATTCAAGAGTCAATCAGTCAATGACTCGAGCAATATGAAGACAGATGTCACAGGAAACGCGAGCTAAACGCGCCTTCCAGCTTATTGTAAGAACACAAGGCGCTCATTACGAAGGCTTCGCTGATGCTGACTTAGTATTTTAGCTCTGCATGAAGCCAGAAGGGCACGACAAGCTGGAAAATTTTCTGCCCTTTTAACACTATCACTTTTCTTGCAACTTCGTGGTTGGTAGCCTTCAATAACATTCCTTGCATTCCAGTGCACGCTGACAATTTCTAAATGAGTGAAGGCTCTTTTTGATGTTTAGTCTGCTGTTCTTTCTGCTGTCGCAAGCCGCTGTCGCACGGAAACCCTTTGAAGTCGAGCGATTGCAAAAGGGAAAACTTGATCAAAACTTTAGTCTTGTGGCATATATTTTTATCTCATCCTGAGACAGTAATCTTTTGATAATTATATCTCGGTAAGGAAAACCTCAAGCTCATGATCCGTGGTAGGAATGTGACTACACCTACCTCGGATCGACCTATTGACCACGCGATCTTATCTTGAAGTCTCTCTCAGTAAGGAAATGATTACTAATTTCCTGGGTTGAGGAGGTCATAGAAGAGTTGCTACTAAATTTGACGTTTACAAGCTCCAGATCGATCTAGAGACTGGTCAGTTCTCTTGGGGGTGGGTGAGATTCCGAGGCGGACTGGCCGGGGAACCCTGGGGGGGAATGCACATTAAAGTTGACGTCGAAACCTTTGTATCATTGTGATGTGCGATCGTTTTTTTGTAATATAAGCCATGAAAACAATTGTTTCTTCAGGAAGTGTAAAGAGGTAGGTCACGACATTTGCCTAGTCTAGAAAGCACGAGTTTTAGGCTGTAAATTGGTTTTAAAAAGACACAAACCCTTTCGCGGACAAAATCATCGGCCACATAAGTCGGCCTTCATACAAATTGGTACAAACTTCAAAAAGGGGCCTTTTCTTTTAAGTTTGTCTCAATTTGCCTGAAGGAGTAGCTTAATGTGACGCCAGGGAATCATCTGTGTTTGTTATTCTTTTTTCATGTTCTTCTCGGTCCTTCTCGTACAACTTGAAGATGGTCTCACTCTGAACATGATAATGACCAGCAACAGCATAACCTACAATCTTGGAAAGAATCAAATCAAACAGCAAACTTCTATCCCCCCTTCAAATCATCAAGGATGGGAGGGGAAAATATCTCGTTTTGGCTTTCGCGCGGCTTCATCTTTGATTTGACGGGGGGTGTGGGTTTGCTATTCCGCGCTCGTTCTCGCGCACTCGCTTCCCTCGCGAGCTCGCCGAGGTAAGAAAAATAAAACAACGTCTGTGTACAGGCTAATTTTATTCTGTCCATTGTAGCCTCTTTCGGCAGATAGACAGATCTGCCTGTCAAAAAACGTAATAAATTCGGGTTGTAATCTATGTTTTGTGCTCCAATTTCATTCAGATTTCGCGAAAGTTTATTCTTCTTAATCCCGAACGGTAAATTTAGTTTTAAAGAACATTTGATTTCTTTTTGCTTATAAAAGCGACATCTCCTCAGCCTAACTACTGCTATACCCTCAGTGAAATAAACATTCACGATGGCGCACGGGGAGGGGTAGAAAAACCGACGACGTAGACGGGGAATATTATAGAAGTGTTTTATCAAACATTTTTTTTTTCATCTCACTAGGAAAATTTTTTTTTTTCATGAAACGATGTGAACACCAGCAAATGCCCCGGGGGGCTGCTTATGTAACTCATAAAAGTATGTGCCGCGCTATTTCGGTCTGAATAAGGGTATTGGCTTTGCCTATTTTGGTCTGGACACTGTCTGGTATCGGGTATGGTTTTCGAGGGAACTACGGAAATGTATGAATGTCATGATTTGGAGAATCGGGCACCACAAACCGAAAGAGAATTCTCAGGAGTACCCCAGGGCAAATGCTTTGAACTTACAAAGTGCCAGCCGGGGCGGACGAGGAAAAGCGTCATTTTTTTCGAAATGCAGCGAGAACCCCATGACAGTTAGTCGAAAGCCATATCATATAATGTGACCTCAAAACTCAGGAAGAAATCAATGCTAATACTCCGTTAATTGATCTGATCCAAGTTTGCAGAGAGGCACTTAGGCTATTTTCCGGCGAAGTCGATTAGGATCAGATTAAAATGTAAAGAATGATCTATTGATCAGGCTCAGGACTAAAAATTGAAAACTTGAAAATCTTTTTGTGTGAAATTGCAGAGGTCTTTAAATATACGTAATTTGTCATTATTGTAGTAAATATGGGAAAATAGATTAGACCCGGGGGGGTACTCCTAGGAATTCTTGGTGAGGGTGTGCCTCTGGTTCTCCAAATCCTGAACCTATATTAGACCAAAAAATGCCATTTTCCTCACCCTTTTTCAAACCAGACCTCTAAAATCCATACCCGTTTTCAGAACTGGCCTTCAGGCAGAAAATATGTCGTCATTACTTAGATTAGGGCGCAAACAAAAAAATTCTTCAAATGCATTTCGAATTCACATATTTCTATTTAGTTCTTATTTACTTGGAATTGAAAGGATAAATACGTTCATACGCTCCCGTAGTTCCCTCGAAAACCAACCCGATTCCAGGCCAAAATGGGCAAAGTCAGGAGCCTATTTGATGGGCTCCTGGCAAAGTCTATACCCGTTTTCAGACCAAAAAGGCCCAAAAACCCTACCCTTGGGGTCGGGGAAAGGACTACAATAGAGAGGATCGAAAGATTGTGTATAGCGCGGGACGTTTATGGGTATATTAGACTGAGTTAGCAACAGAACGGGAACGTCATTTGGCCACGGGAAAGCGCGCGGACTTCCGGTGCCTATTTTGCCGCCCTGCCATTGGTCAAGCCAGTTGTTTATTTTGCGCGCGCCGTGGTCAACTGACGTTCCCGTTATCTTGCTAAATCAGCCTAATGTTAGTACGAGTGACTTCCAACCAGAGTCACACCTCAGTACATCCTGAGAAAACAACCAACATTTCGAGACGCCACCAATGATTAACCCGCGAAATGACGTCTGAGAAACCAGCGCAGAAATTCCGTACTAATGATCTCGGTAGTGTTTCTGATTGGATGAAACAAATTTTAAACCAATCAGAAGCACTACTCAGTTTCCCGTCACTTCGTTCTATGATCAGATCATTCCAAGCCAGATTGCTCCACTTAATAGTCAAAACGTTTCTCGAGTCTTAAAGCCACAAGCAGAAACAAGGGTGTTACTTATGAGTATGTCTCGTTCTTTAAGCCAATAAGCCAAAAAAAAGCGCGCTTCATATCGAGTTTTACACTGAAACTGTGGAACAGTCTGACTATAAAATGGAACGATCAAGCTTGGAATGATCTCACAATGGAACGATGTGACCTTAAACCGGAATTTCTGTGTTTGTTCCTCGATCAGATCTCATTTCGCGGGGAAACCAGTGGAGGCTACCACACCTCCTATGTCCAAAATATTTCATGTAAAGGGCGAATTAATGATTATAAAACATGATCGTCGCTTTCATAAATGGTCTGAGAAACAGCCCACGACGCCAACACTGGTTTCCCCGCGTCAGATCTAGAGGAAAGAGCCCAGATCTGGGTCCTGCTTCTGATTGGTTGAAGAAAATTTCCATCGCCGTACGACCAATCAAAAGCACTACCCAGATCTTGGTAGTGATACGTTCTCGGTATGGAATCTCTGTATGCGCTCCTCATAAGTCATTTAATTCGCAAGGAAATATTGGCGTCGCGAAGTGTCGGCTGTTTTCTTAAATGCTACCCATTTAACAGCTACTCTATGACTGGTTCGGGTTCGGCAATTGTACGAAGCCCTGGAAAAAAATGGCTATGCCTCTGCGAGTGACAGCCAAAGTCGTCTTGGAAAGTCCTGAAGGCTTTGAGGTTGCGCGTGAGACTTGGTCAGTGTTGTCTCGAACTGCACTGCGGGACAGTTCTATCTTTATTGCCCATTACGAGGTTGCGAAAGAAAATGGGTCAAAATTCGTCCTTAAAAACAATTCCATCGTGTGATAGGCCATATGCGCGATGACGTCATTTTGCTACTACAACCAGAACCTTTCAAAGTTTTGCTTTCTTGTGTAAATTAGGGCTTCAGTTTTGTAAACTCTGGTGGGATTACCAAATTCAAATATGAAAGGAGAAACGGGAAGGATTCTGGTCGCAGTAGTAAGATGAGGACAATGTACAAATTAGCCTGAGTATCAGGGGTTACTGGGGGAAAGGGGGAGGGATTAATCCCTCCTCCCTCCCCCATCTAAAATCTCCTCTCCCTCAGCCCCTTGGGAAGGCCCGATACTCAGGCTACATACAAATGGCCTATTCGACACATCACAGCTTTAGTTTCAAGGGCGACCTTAAACGAACAACGAGGCGATTCAAAAACGGCACATGGACGACAAAATACAAAACCTAAAACTTTATTTTCTCATTCTAAAACTAGATATTCATTATATTTCCTCTGTATAATATAAACGAGAGATTTGGCCGCGAGCTAGGAGCGTTATATTACAAAAGAATAACTTTATAACAAGTGTACTGTACATATATTTACACAGATTGCTTTTTTTTTCTTACTTTTAACCCACAGTACAAAACTCAACTTAACTCGCCGACAATTAACATCGCCATCACACTTCCCTTATAAAAAATATCTTAGCTTTTTTGCACACAACATGAGTTAAACCTTATTATTAAGAGAGAATACTGAATTTCTTTCGTTTGCATACAATTATGTATAATTTCGACTTGCGAGGACTACGAGTGCGTCACGTGTCTTACGCGTCACTCGCGCGCTGGAAAAATGCGAAGCCGTTCAACGGACTTACTCTTTGGAGCGGACTCTAAGTTGAATAATTAGGTAGTGCAAGTTATGTACACTGATCAAAACGCGACCGTTACGTAGAGGCTCTAATATAAAGCACGAGTAACGCTTGAAAACACAATAAATCGCAGCACTGCGCGAATCAGTAATTAATCATTAACAGAAGACGGACTTTCCACGAAGGTAAGACAAGACTGTAGTTTGTCGAAAACTTTGCAGGGGTAATAATGTGATACTTAATGATTTCCTTACGGCACTTGTTCACCAAAACCAAGCGTATAACCTCAAAGACAGACAAGAAGTCACCATTATTTTATAGCAGTTGCCAAACTTCCGGAGGACGAGAAAAGAGGCTAACACTTTCCTTCGTTGGGATACATAAGCGGGATGAAACCAGCGCAAGATTTTTTCTTCGTTCTCCAGTTAACAACTAGCTTTTCACCTATTCAGATGAAGAGTGCTGGAGCAAAAGTGAACGGTTTCGTGCGAAACATGCGCGAATCAACGATGACAACTACACCCGTCTTTTTGGCGTTATTCACAACGGAACCGCCTTGTCACTCTCGCGGGCTACTTCAGAACTTTTAACCAAATTATCGGCTTTAATTATTCGGCATCGTCTATTCCTAGAAGCCGACAAACACTCTGTGCGATATTTTGAAGAGATCGTCGCGGTATTTCAACCAGCCGTTCGCTTTATAGTGAATTTAAAACTAGTTAAAAACCATAAATGATTTGATGGTTTCAACTCCAATCAAAGAACTAAAACTGGAACAAAACGTGTGGCGAAGACCATTCCGTATCTACTGGACAGCACATGCGCAGATTACAGTTCCGTCTGTAGCGTCTCGTTATTGGGGTCGTAGCTTCCGATACAGCAGAACACCCGGTCTGACAGAGAAGTCCTGGTACTCGGTGAGTCGAGACTCTGAAGGCGTTGTTTGAACTCCTCAGGAGTGAGCACTTCGCACTTGTGAGAGATGGTTTGTACGTCGTTTTCATCTACATGGGTGGAGCGGTACAAAGATTGCTGAAACAATGGAAAGAAATTAAGTTACTTCAGCTCATGCTGATATACAGTCGACTCTCTTAACGAACACCTCTGTAAAACGGACACCTAGAGTTGGTCCCTGCCTTTCTTTGCTCCCTCTATTGACATTACAGGTTCTTTTTCAACTGCTTGGGTTGTTTAACCGAGAGGATCATTTCCAGTATCATACGGACACATCTCTTAGACGCACACTTCGTGAAGGTCCCAGAGAGGTTCGTCTTAGAGAGTTGACCGTATGTGTAACAGATTGATATAAGCTTTGAGCGTTAAATAATAGATTCAACAGGTGGAATAAAAGGCCTTGATTACTGAACAAATTCTCCTCATCAGTACCACAGGAAAAATACAAAAGAAGATTGTGGAGGATGAGCATGCTGATAGTAGGGTTTAAAAGTGAAAGAAAGTCCGCCAATGGGCACAGTTTGTCTCAATGAAAACTGCACCAGGTAAGGTAGCCTGCGCGCAGACGAAATTAAACTCTGGTTAACTCCGTCTGCGAAACAGCGCCGAAATCCTTGTTCTGGACTTCCAGCTGTGTACCCAGATTTGAGTACGCGCCACGATTGGCCAGTTAAAAAAGGCTTTGTTTTGTTTGTCGTGATCGCCAATCAGGTTGAAGGAGAATTCGAAACGCACTTCCGGTAATTCGTTGAGTCCGTTGGGGGCCCAGAACAAGGATCTCTGCGCTGCTTCGCAGACGGTACTAATCAGAGTTTAGTTATCGTCTGCACGCAGGCTACAGGTAAGAGGGCAAAAACGAGGACCAGCACTCGAATTAGAAGTTCCCTTTTGGCAATTTTATCATCATGCATATCATGTACATTGCTCTTTACTTTAAAATTTGCTTACAAATCAAGACGTGTTATCTTTGATGAAGGCATTCCCTATAGAGTCACCAAGTTTTTTGTCTAACAAATGCTTTTGATCTGTTGCTCGTAAACATCACATTTGCCTTTTTTTAAGACATGCATATTACCACTGATTCAAAAGTGCCTACCTTTCCATCAGAGGGCTTTCTTCCTGGTTTTGTTTCCTCCGGGTGGTAGAACCACTTGACTTTCACTACCATATTGCCGCCACACCCCTCCCACATGCTCTCGATCCTACCAACATAGGGAAGATTGAGATTTTTTGTTGGGTTGGACATGAAAACTGCGCAATCACCGACCTGTCAATCAACAGTAGTCATTTCGTTATTCAAAGATACGTCAGTACTTCATAAACGTTTACTTTGGCGGTTAATTAAAGGCGTTGAGGAGGAGGGGGGAAGGAAGGGGAAGGAAAGAGGGAAAAAGTCCCCGGTCCCTTCACCATGCGAGCAGAGCCTCCTTTTCTCTTCTTCTTGATCGAGTGGGAGAAAAGGGCGGTCTGGCTGAACCGCGTCAAGCCTTTGAATAATCATGACTGGGCCCACTGTGCCACAAGCACAGCCATTAGGCCTTCGTTCGAAACTGTATCCTAGCACCATGCAGAGCATGCGCAACAAAGATCTTACTTCACCGATGCAAGTCTCTTAAGTAAAAGCGTGCGTTCAGAAAAATATTAATAGGCTTTCTTATGTTGTTTCGCGTGCTTTGCACTTAAATTGGGCTCCACTTTTCATTTTGCTTTGCAGGCGAAATTAATTTACGACGCCAAATCAAAATAAAGCCTACTGAAAAAAAGACTTGGAGATAAGAGAAGAATAGGGACTGTAGTAATACGGAGTAGAAAAGCAAGAAACACAGTGCTGCGAAAAAAGCTGCATTACTTACAGAGATCGTCTCGTCTCCTCGTACAATAGCTTTATAGAAGACTTTCTTTCCCTTTCCTTTTCGTTTATTCTGGAAATTTTTTCCAGACCACTGCCAAAGTGGCCCTGAAAAAATAAATTAGACAACATTGTTAAAGACCAAGAAATTACATTCTTTAAGGACTAAGAAAATTTAGAGTTATCGGTTAAGATGATGGGTAGTAACATTCAGGCCTTTGTAGATTTGTGGGTCCTTGTAAAACACTTCTTTAAGGTTACGCCTTGAGAAAACTGAGTCTGTTCACCTCTTACCTGAAAACTTCATGTCTACTTGAAGACGATCTAGTTCTGAACGGCGTCTCCTGCCTAGGCGAGGCTGAAAACAAACAAAACATAAACAGTTGCCGTAAGTAAATGCTTGTCAATAAGTCACTTAGCAAGAAAAAGGAACAGATGCGCATGCGTTAAGGGTGGAAAAAAACTACACTGAAAATCAGGCAACATCTTAACTGACCAAAAAGAAAATACCATAACATACCATAATGCTCTTTGTTTGTCAACCCAAACTCCCAAGAGAAACTGAAGAGAATGCTTATGCAAAATTTTGGGGTGACAAACAAAGAGCATTATGGTACGTTATGGTATTTTCTGTAGTGGTCAATACATGTGTCTTCACGCCTTCAAGAAGTCAGTCACGACGCTTGCCGAAAAGTCAGAACTGGTCGGCCAGACCGTTCGTCTTGAAAACGAAATAGGCCTTTTTTTTCAGAGTTCACACTGATGCACACAGAATTTGGCCGACCAGTTGTGACTCGTGGAATGCGCCCTTACAATTAGCAAACTACACCCACATCATTGTCATCTTATCATTCTAAATTTTGTCAGTGCCCAGCAGAAAGAATGACCTGAAAGAGGGCAAGAGGAGGGTGTGGGGAGGGCGGGTTGATTGTGGGAAGATGGCATCCCCCACAAAAACCTTGATTTATGCTTGGAAAAAAGAAAGGCAAAGCCAAGATTAGAATGCTTTTCCTTCGAGACATTCATACGTACCACCGTCCACCCCCAACATCCCCCACCCAGCTCCTTTGCTTTGTAGGCGCACTTTTTCGGACGTGAAACAACATACTACATCTGCAACGCTCGATCGATCGCGTGTTCTTTATCTACGAGTGCCGCCATAAATTTTCAACGACAAACAAGCGCTGTTTAGTTCGCTCTAAAACGCTTTAAAATGCCATATAGAATGTTTACAAGCCCACCTGGAAAGACTTATTTTCGACCAGCGGACTTTCGTCAAACGCGTCACTGTAAGATTCACTGTCCTCGTCTTGAGACGCAGACAAAACGTCACGCGTAGGGCTCTCGCCTTCGGTTCGCGTGGAACGAAAGGAGCTATTAAGACTCAAAGTAAGTGACCTCCTTCTAAGGTCCTTTTCAGATGTCCTTGAGGACCCTTTTGTACTTGCACGAAGTCCTTTTTCCTGTTTCGGCGTTTCAACATCTGAGTTCGCGTCGCTGTCCTCACCTTGGTCAGAAGACTCAGCGCTGTTTCCCACCACAGCGCCCACCTTATCGGATGATTGTTTACCACTGTTTTCATAATCTCCTGATTTAAAAGAGGAGTCACTTGAATGAATTTCCTTCTCGGATTTTTTGAGTTCCGCCGACGCATTAGACGGTAAATTATGTTTTATACTCTCCGCAATTTTCGTCGCTTCTTTCGACTCCACTTCTACTTTACCGCGGTTTCTGCTTGATTTCTGTTTTTGTGGCGCATCCAAAACCTTATTCTCTTGGCTCTCCTTACTGTCATAGTTTTTATCTTTCAACTTTGCAAGAGACCCCGTGCTGTCAACAACGTGCTTTTCAGCCTCCTTCGCCTTATTCCGATGGATTTCTCGCTTCTTTGCGTTACTTTCCTTACTATCGCTATCCACTCGCTTTGAAAGAAGCCACAAATCATCCCTGCTTTTCCTATTCCCTCGCAATCTCCTTCTTTTTGCTTGAATCTCTCCGGAGCTCTCGTTTCCAGATGAGAACTCGGACGTGTTCTCCTCGGCTCGAAGCCTAGAACTTGAATCCTTGATCGCCGTGGGCTGCGAATTGCCAAAGGAACTGGATCGAGGCCTTTTCTCCGGCAGGATGGGAGTTGAGTCTGCCCCTGTAGTACAAAAAAGCAGAATTAACCCTTAAGTTCTAGTCCCTTGCCCAGCCGTCCTGTGTGTCGTGACGCACCTAGACTCGCGTGCGTGACCACACAAAGAACGGCTAATAATGCTCCGAAGATGATCAACAACTAACTTCTCGGTAGAATAACACCCCTTAATAAAGCACAAAGGTCACGAAAATCAAGAAAAATCACTAACGATAAACCATACGATGAACACGGTTCAAGTTGCCTGAAGACTTTTTATTAAAGCGAGACCTGGTGCACAAGTTCTCATATGAAAATGTGGTAAATTTGTGAGTGAGTGAAATATATTTCCCTTTGAAAGATAAGCACCGAGATTCATTTTGAAAAAGAGGTAACTCAGAAACTCTGCCAGTTAAGTTGATTGGCTCACTTATAACAGAAGAAGAGTGACGATCTGTACTGCTGAAAAAAATCGAAAAAACCCTCAAGAGATGAAGCGGGGTAGCTGTACCTTCCACAGGGAAGTCTGGGTGTATTCGTTTGATTTCATCCAACTGAAAGAATCCACTGTCTCCATCATCAAACTCGATCCAGATTTTGCCTTCTACCTCCTTTTCGTCTTGCGGTGCTAAAGGCAAGCAAACGAAAAACAATCAATTTATACTGTACATGATGGCGTTTTTCCATTACGAATAATAACTTATATGAATCCCTGTGATACTGCGTATTGAACGAGGTCCTTATTTTACGTCGGCAAGTCTAAATAGTACATTAGACTGACAAACCAGAGGCCGACGGTGCGCTCATTTCAACCCCCCCCACCACCACCCCCTCTCTCTCTCCATCATTGCTCCATTTTACAGGTACTTAAAGCTACTTAACGATACACGGAAAGATAAGAAGTCGAAACAAGGATTTAGGGTCACATCTCGGCATCCCACGGAGGAACGCGTAACAAAGCCCTATGAAGTTGGCGTGAGAGGATAGTCACACCTGCCGTGGGAAAACAGCTCGAAGCCCGCACAGAATGCAGCGCACTAACCGACTGTGCTGATACCTGCTTCTTTTGAAAAAAACATTGCAGCTGGGCATTAAAAACCTACCTTCAGTAACAGTTCCGGGATAAAAGCATCGATACTGCGGGCTCCAGTGCGCGCACACACGCGTTCCAATCGGAAGAAACTTCGTACTCGGTGGCTGAATATCCTTCACCTTTAGCGAGAAAAGATCCTCCGAGTTAAAACGAAGCAACACTCGTGCACATTAATTTCTGTTATCTATTCATTTTGAAGGAAGAAGGGAACAACCGCATCAAGGAAGCAGAGATATATGGTTGAAATTTTAAGTTCTTTGCGGTGAAATAAAATTGGTTCGTTAATACCAGAAACATTGACTTCCTTCTTGTGCTTAGCGTTTCTTTCGCAAAGGGAATTTCACAACTGCTCTCTAGAAGTCCATAGAAGTTTGTTGATGTCCATGGAAGTTCAATAACTTACCGCCTGAGTACGCAGCTGTTCTGTGGATTTCCAGTGCGGTCTGCGGCCCCTTTCACCATCCAGGATTACTCCGAATCTGAAATTAGGAAATATTTGTTACTGAGCGAGCTTGTTCGGTCAAGATGGCTGGATCATATTGCCGAAGTTTTTTAGCGACACAAATTGAGGTCCATAAAAACGCCAAACAGCGGGGCTAATATTCAACCATCTTAACCGAAGAGGTTTGGTCAATAAAAGAATTTCGCAAATAAAACAGAGGCAATGTATGAAAGGCCGCACGTAAGCGGAAAAGTAGAACCTCGCTCAACTTCACGTTTAATCTCAACACTTTAGCCTCCATTTTATTTACGTGATTAAAATTTACGTGCGTTAACGTGCGTAGCCAAAAACGCGTCAGTGCAAATCAACTTCAAGGCAACTCTTTGGAAAACTTTGCGTAGATCCACTTACAAGTCAGGTTCATTGAATGTACTGATGCGTCCCGGGAAGAAGACAGAATCCACAGGAAGGAGAAGCTTCGCACCTTCCCGTAATTCCTCGGTCAAAAACGTGAAACGAACGTCTTCTGAAACAAAACAATATACATAGTCAACCGTCACACTAGAACGGGGGATACTTATTTGGGGGTGTGGCTGGGTAGAAATAAGTGCTTGGCTGGACATGACCAAGTCCATTTGTTTGTCTGACACAAAAGCCTATTAAGCTCTACGCCTTGTGTTTGAAACACTCCTCCCCTTTCATCAAAAGTGCTTGTTGGCGGAATATATGATTGAAAATCAAAGACGCGACGCGTTTTCCGCGAAACAACAACAAAAAAAACAAACAACAACCAACCTGGTGATAAAGGTTGCTCATAAGAAGCCTCATCTGTCTTTTCCTCTTCCTGACTAGCTTCCTAAAATGATTAAAAAGGCAGGCTCTTTAGAAGTTATGAAGGGGTACTTCCCTAGAGAGTTATGTGTATTGGCAAATTTTCAAATGATATCTGATCAATGACACAGAAAAAAAGACCAACCTCTTTGCTTTCCTTCACGGTAGACTCTTCCACTTCATCGGCCGTTATTATCTGCTTTGAGTCACTTCTGTCTTCTACCGTTTCATCCACGTCCATCTTTGAATCTTCTTCCTCATCCTCAACTTCCGCTTCCTTTTTCTGCTCCTCCACTTCCGGTTTAATGTCTCTTCCGCCCTCGACATCCTCAGCTTGCTGTCTTTCTTGCTCTTCTTCCCCAGTCACAGTCGTATCCATTTTGTCGGTTACGTTTATTTCCACGTCAGTTTCTCCTTCCTCACCAGGCTCTTCATCCTCTTGAATATCGTCTGCTTCTTCTTCGTCTGCATCGTCAAAGTCGACCTGCAAACGAAGCAAAAAGGTTGTTATCGCTATCTATCCTACAAAGGGATTAGGTAAAGCTATGAAAAAGAGCACTGTACCAGCTGCCTGGATTTAGAGCGCACTCTTCTGGAGACTTTGATTGGTTCGTAGTCTTCATCGGAAGAAATCCTTTTTTTGCTTTTACCAGTCCCTCTCTTCTTTTTGGCCTTGGTCTTCACTTTTTGTGGCAAGACAACGTCACTTTCCGCCATTTCTTCCTCAATCTGTGAGTCTGACCGGGCCATTTTCTGTTCAACAAGAAAAAAAATTTTTTTTTAACCTTGGGCTAGATTACGACCTTGTGCTGTCCCCAAAAGCCCCCATTCTTTGGGACAATAAACATTAATCTGAAGTTTGGAAAACAAGTGAATTCCTAATTTATGCAAAGTGTTGGTGTATATGAATCTGTCAAATTTTTAACCAATGAAACTCCGTTACTTGTCTTCAGTATTCAATCACCAAGTCATAAGTTTCCCGATTTGCCTTGTGTTTTCTGTTGTTTGGTCTTCATTTTTACCGGCATCAAAAGGAGGACAGACGAGAAAAAACTGGCGTCAAATTCTTAAATATCCCTCATTTGACAGCCTCGACACAACTTTTCCATAATAGAAATATCTTTGAGCTGATACTCACAGCTTTGACCGAAGGCCCTTTCTTAGTCTTCTTTGCGTAAGAGAATTCGCTTCCCTTCGTCGTGGGTGACAAGGGACTGGAACTAGAGTTGGTAGTCACGCTACTGTTGATGAAGATCCGTTCGCTCCTCCTGGGTTGCCACTCGTCACTTAGCAACGATGACATGCTTCCTTTGAAGTCGTCATTTTCCCGCGAAAGGCTAGCACTTGGAAGGCCTCCCCCAGAGTCCTTAATAATTTCATCGGCTGGTCGAAACACATCTTCTTCTGGTTCACTGTCTTCATTTAACACTGCTGTTTCTAGCTGTTTCGTCTCATCCTTGTCTTGATGTTGATAAGAGGGAAGTTGAGGCCGTTCTTCTTGAGGCACTTCCGCAGGTTTCTCCTCTGTAATTTCTTCTTTCTGTGTTGTAATCTTCTTCTTCTTTTTCTTCTTCTTCTTTTTTGGCACGTCTGTTGTGTCCTAATGGAAGATTAACCCGTTTATGTTAAACCCTTAATCCCAAACTTTCGCCACATTTGAATTTCAATAGAACGAGTACTACTTATCAACATAATTAAACATTTAAAAAAAGTTCACAAAAATTACAAATTTCTTTTAGTACAAATCCAAAGGTATTAATTGTACCGTGGTGCAAAAGGTTCTGCCAAAAAGGTTTTGAAATGAATGGTAACACCATAGGTTTAGGTTCAGTTTAAGAGCTGGTGGCAAAAGATCCCATCATACCGTCACGCCCATGGTCTAGGAGCAAAGGGGTTTACTCCAAAAGCTAGACTAACTATATTTTACGCAAATCGTCTTGTCATGTAGCTCGATTTTCAACTGTGGATGAACACTAATTAAACTTATTCGATGGCATTCTCGAGATGGAAAGGGTATTTGCTGAGAGCCACTGCTGAGACGCTGGTGCAACGACGCCGTTGAGGCTATAGAGAGATAGACTTGGCAAAACTTGCAAAAGACCACACGATCAGGGCTTCATTCGACTATGAAAGAGGAAAACCTAACTGTATTGAACAGACAGACACAGTAGAGCAGTTCTACTCTCAGAGTCATAACTTGACTTGTCCCTGCAACGCGTTTTCCCAGTCCCTCTCGGTCAATTCACTTCGGTGACGTATCCGAGAAGTACTACGGGCGGGAAACATTTTCGCTTGGACCACGTGATCCGAAACGCTTTGGCCGCGCGAAATAATCAGGCTTAGGGACTAGGCAAAGTCCTAACCATAGACTCCAACGGTATAACCAAAACGCAATACTTTCAACATGTTTCTTTCCAGAAGAAAAATTCTAAGTAGTAATTTCATACCTCATCTAGGACCTTCTTCTTTTTCTTCTTCTTTGGAACGACGACGGGGTCTAAGAGGAAAGTGTCAAGTGTACTTAGCACCATCATTTCTCTGGGTCGCTTAAATAAATTGTACTTTTGGAGTAGAATAGTGCCGAATCAACAGACTTTATCGGAGGAAAATATCTCCTCTTCGAAAACAGATGTGTATTAAGTAGCTGATAACTGCACCTCGCATGGGACCTAAGAGGCCTGTTGATGCCCATCCCGTCCCCTCTTGATGTTTTTGCTCTTAATGTTACCGCAACATGACAAATTTGAATTCGCGTCCACCATTGGAAAACCGCCAATTCCAATCAGGGTCTTCGATTTGCCAGTGGTTTCAAAAGAAGCGACAAGAGCGATTATTTCAAGTAAGTCAGGGTGCAAGGAAAGTCATTTTTACAGCTTGCCATTCGGGCAAGCTGAAGCTAACATTTACTAGCCCAAATATCATTTCAACTAGCCCAAAAAACGTTTTGATGAGCAGACTGATTTCAAAGTTCTTCTGTAATTTGAATTCCTCAAAAAAATTCACTTGCCCGTCGGGCAAGTTAATAACAGAATTCACTAGCCCGATAGCAAAATCGGCTAGCCCCGGGCTATCGGACAGTACTTTCTTTGCACGCTGTAAGTGCAATTGTTTAAGCAAACCAAACTAGAGTAATTAAGGTCAGCATGAGAAACAGATCATAGAATTCACGATTCAGCAGCATTAATGCCGACTTGTAATTCGTGGCGCTAGCCACAGGGATCGCAGCTCGAAGAGAGAAAAAATTATTAGGTCATGATGTCAACTAACTTACCTGGCTCAGCAGATGGCGACTCTGTTTCTTTCTTAGGTCTTCCCCTTTTCTTCTGCAGAAGGTCTTCTGAAAGCACGGAATTGTCTAGCGATTTCTTGCGCCTGCTCGATTTGTCAACACTTTCGAAAGACGCCTGTGCCAGTAAACTTAAACCGTCGCGACTATCATGTCCGGATGTAAACACATCGTCGTCATTATCACACTGCATCTGCATGCTCTTCTTTTGGGCTTCCATTTGTTTGGCTGCCATAGCAACAACCTCTTTTGCAATCTCGTTAGGAGACACACTGCTGCTGTTTTCGGAGAAACTCTCGTCCTGTGACGTCATATCCGGAAATTCAAATGTTCCCTTTGGAGGAGTATTTGTGGTAGATTTGCGCTTCTTTTTCGTACCCTTGGCTTTTTTGCTTTTGGTCGAAGTAGACGCCTGGGGTGTTTCACAGGATATCGCTGTACTGTCCAGTGGTGACTCGTCGTCCACCTTGCCTTCGTAACCGTCCAGATTGTCGATAGTTAGCTTGGGACGAGCTCGTTTCTTTGGTTTTAGTTTCTTGGTCTTGGTGTTTTTGGATGAAACTTCTGCTTCTGTAACATCAGTTTCCAATTCTGTAGCACTTACTTCAGGAACAACTGCAAGCAAAGAAACGTCCTAAATGTTTCCCACAAAGTCAAATTTTTCTTTTTGTCCTACGTGATAGACAGTGTGTAATGGAAAGCATGTTGAACTACCTGTGGTTCCATATCCCATCGTGTTTTTTAGAAACGGAAGAGGGTCTGTGTGGGGTTTAAAGGTACGTAAAAACGGGCAACAAAAACGTGTAACTTGTTTTCACGGGAACATATGAACCCACAATTGACCTGCTCTTAACGTCAGTGGCTTCATAGCTCAGTTGGTAGAGAATCGCACCGGTATCGTGAGGTCACGACTTCAAACCCCGTTGAACTCCTGATTTATTTTTTTTTTTCAGGCTTCTTTACGCAATTGCATAAATTGCGTTCACTGCGACGATCATTTCTTCATTTTCATTCCATTTCCACAGTTCATATATGATTTATTTCATACATCATTAACACTTGTTTTGCAACATTGCAGCAAAATGAGTTGAAAAACGGTGTTGTTCGTTTTACCACCCATGAATCAAACCTGTCTTGCAACGATTAGGTTCTAGCAGGATGCGCAAAGTTATTGAAGAAAGTAGAGAGAAGTTCTACTTTTTGTAACAAAATCTGTACATGTTGCACGCTTTACCGGCCACGGCAAACTTGTCTGGCACCAATTGACCAAGTCCCGTGTATAGCGTGACTCCCGCGTAATTCTGCCCAATCAGTTGTCAGTATTCACGCAAGTTGCAATAACCTGATTTGTTGCAAGACAGTTTGAACTTGAGTGGTAAAACGCGCAACAGTCAAGCAAATCTGTGAAACCGGTTAGCATCATCTCACTGAACAAACTGACAAACCAAATTTTTAGTTAGAAAGGCTGACAATGGACAGTTTCAAAAAATGACATGAGACACTTTCCAGATCGAATCAAAATTTAAACACGTTGGTTTAGAAAAGAGGACAAAACGCGATTACTTGGAGAAAATTCCCGGGAAGCAAACGACAAAAGCAACAACACACTCAACCCACATATGACGAGTAACCGAGTAGCAATCAAAGTAACCCTAGTCGATTCGCTTTACAGAAATAAGGTGAAGAGTCGACTGAGTGGGCTGACTGTGGCTAGTGCGCCAAACAGGCACACCAAACAGCCAAGTATTTTTTACTCACCAGGTAGTTGTCGTACATTGACCTGTTGATCGAGTGTTCCTTCTGTCGGCGATCCTTTTCTTCGTTTACTACCGCCAGCGGTCTTCTTCTTCTTTCCGTCAGGGTTCGGCTTAGTTTTGGGAATCGTTATGATGGACTGAAACACAGTAAAAACCCGGCAGTAAGAACCCGCATGTTCCTAGCTAAGTTAGCGAGCAGTGGTATTTCAGCTTAATTTGAAATACCTACATGTGAATATTACAAAACCTTTGCGGGTAGTAGTATAAACAAATAATAGCATGATCTGTACGTGATATTTGGTATAAATACCACTCGTGATATTTCAAAAGTGTCTCAAATTAAATTACTAATAACAATTTCGAAATATTACTCGTGGTATTTATGCCAAATATCACTACAAATCAAGCTATTACCTATACAAATAGGTTCCTATTCTCTGGAAAAAAAATACATTGTAGCTAAGAGTATTTATCGGTGTTCGGCTCATTCCTTATATAAACCCTACATACCATCATATAATTGCAGTGGGAGTCAATCAGGCACATATGTCTTAAAAGAGAATCGTAAATGTTGACTCATCTCACTTGCTGAAGCGTACCGATGTAGACTTAAGAAAATAAGAGCGTGCTTCAAATTTTAGGCTAAACAGGTTCTTGTATAGCGGGGGCCCATGCACTCGCAAATTTCAGCCAAACAGGTTTTTAAAAACCAGGTTCTTACTCGTGTGTTTTTACTGTACAAGTGAACGGAAAAAAGGAAAGTAGCTTCACTGAGCTAACGAATGTTTCACTGTGAAGAATTTTAAGCCTGGCGTCTCCGTGTTAAATGCTACTCTCTCATGAGACACTGCTTTACAGACAACGTGTGGACCATTCTGAGGGTTAGAGGAGAGGGCGAAATGCACGAACGCGAAATAAAAGCCCGGATTTGAGAAATACGCGAACGTGCCTGGAAACTGCCATCGCTGAGCAAAGGGATTATCTATTTTTTAATACACTTTGTTTGCTCCACTCCTGACTCCGCCCCTCCACAAAAAGAAACATTTAAAAAATAAAAGAATTGGAGCGTCCTGGCTCCGGTTGTTCAAATGCCGGATAGCGCTTTCCACCGGATAAATGACTATCCAGTGAACAAGTATAACGGAAACCAATTGCACTATCTAATCCATATAGATTTATTCAGTAGATAGCCTTTTCAACAATTGGGGCCTGGGTTTAACCCAGGAACCCTGCCCTGGAAAATGGATTTAAATACGCCTAAAATAGTAACTTTATTGTTGAAACATACCTTGAGATATGTGGAGCTTCTAAGTAAGCGACACAGAAAGACAGTTTGCTTAGTACAAGTAAAAAAATCACTTACCTCTTCTTCTACACCAGATGGCTTGCGAGATTTCTTTTTCTTCGTACTGTGAACTTGTATATCCTAAAGAAGAGGTCACAAACTCGGTAACTGAGTGAAATTGAATCGACTTGAGAGGAAAATCTCAGGTTGGCTTAGAAATTTTGTAAAGAAGAGAACATAATTATAAAAATTGAAAAATTGGCTTATTCATATGCGTAAATGTCTGACCATTTATCCAGATGAATATCATACTTACTGTAAGTTCCACAGGACTCATCCCTAGAATCGGTATCGCTGTCGCGCGTCCCTCCTGCTCCACAGGGTTACTACTCTGCTTCGTCTTCTTTTTCTTTTTCTTGGGTGGTTCGCTGTCTTTGGAAACCAGGCTCTCTGATTCGCTTGCGGCAGCATTTGGCTCGGGAGTCTGAGTTCTACTTGCTGGTGGAGTTTCGTCGCCTTCTTTGTTTTCGTCTGCTGTAGGTACTGGGGAATGCTTGTCGCCCTTGCAACTTGCACCAAAGTACTTTCGCTTCCGTGGCCTCCCGGGACCTCTCTTGATCGGTGTCGATTTGCCGTTACCATCATCAATACTGCAAAGGTTACAATAACAGCAACTGAGGCTTTCTGACGAAATCATACAAATCCAGCGAAACATGAGGCGATTTAAAGAAGTTCACTTCACCCTTTCACTAAATGATGGAGTCTTGCAAGGTGATTCTAATTGAGCTTTTGAGTCTGTGAGCGAAATCCCGCGCTGAGCATTTACACGAAACCTCTTACATGGTAACATTTGTTTTTCAGCATTTCACAGTATGAAATTTGGAAATTTTATAGAATTTTGACTTTGAAAGGGTTTTAAAGTTCTTTTGGTTAAGAAATCAATACACGTGAAGTAAATAGATGGATTCCAGAGCACCTGGGACTGATTTCAATTACCCGCAGGTCCAAACTGACTTGAAATCCGCTTTTGGGCTTCCTGCTTCCATAGAAAAATTTGACTTGCAGCCGTGTATATTTCCCAGACGCAGGTTATCACCATAAACACCATATTTGGTGGATTTCTCGGTGCTTACAAAGCACATGCCAGAATTTGTAATTTTACCTTTACAAGTAAATTTCATATCTATGAAATTCATATTTTCACTAATTTCCTCTCCATCTTTTCCGGGAATATTAGAAACCAATAGGTCACTTCCGAGTTTAAAAAACCCTCACTTTCAAAATGAGACCAAGTGCACAACCTTTCTTTTGAAAATGATTCTTATTTGCATGAGAATGAAAAATCATTTCCATATCAAAGGCTGAGCACTTAACCTCGTTTTGATACAGAGGCCCGGGGGAACTCGGAAATGGCCAATTTAATGACCAGCTCCCAGTTGGTTTGCTTACACAATTGGTAAAGCAGAGCACTGTTATCGCAGAGGTTAGAATTCAAATCCCGGCAAGCCTGAATTTTTCAGGCTTTCCTTTCGCAACTGCATAAGTTGCGTCTTTTTCTGCGATGATATTCTTTGAACATATTTTTCAACTTTTTAGTGTTGACTATTACCACAATAACTTAAATCAAACAAAGGACATCCGTTGTACACGACTTCTTTTCGGTGCGCACGTGTTGATTTTCCCATTCAATCGCGAGGGAATGATTAGGTCAACTAAATAATTAACAATTATTCCAAGAGTGCGCGTTGGATATGAGATGGTAGGGAGACAACGAGGCGCGTAGCGCTGAAATGGCTATAACCGTCTCATATCCAACAAGCGCGAGTGAAATAATTGTTTTATTAAAACCGCCCACAAAATATCGAGAACTCTTTCCGACTTCGCTTGGAAAAACAAACGATTTACAACTTGTTTTTACTTTTGAGCAGACGCGTACAGTTACCATATTTGGAGAGCATGGTATAAGCCAATCAGAGCTCTAGAATTGCATTATCCAATGATTCAGTTTTTAATAATTAATAATAATACCTATATTTGGGCTGCAGCCGGGCGAGCTCCCTGAGTTTCTCTCTATATCTTTTCTGTAACTCGGCTAGTTTCATCCGCATTTCTTTCTCAACCGCTTCCAAACCCGCCACATCGTTAATAGCACTCGTTACACTATTCAGAATCGTCGTTGGACTCCGAACATCTCTTCGGCGACTGAACACCATAAAGCGGTCTTTGCTGTTACGTCGCTTCGCCATCAAACGAAGACGATCGATGTTATCCCGAATTTGCTTTCGCTCAGCGTCGGACTTAAAAGGCCTTAGTGAAAATATCGTGGAATTTTCCTTGTTTTCAACGTCTGGCTCGAGAGGCACAAAAGAAGATGCAATTCTCCTAATCTCGCACTTTGTTCTAAAATCGTCTTCATAATCGGAATTACCACCAAGATGTTCTACTGGTGATAGTTTTTCAGATGAGGCCAGAGTTTGAAGATTTCCCCTAGGGTCTACTTGAGATTCTACACTCTCCCTCAATCCAATTTCTACAGGTTGTCGATCTTTCTCAGAGCGTTCAATTTCTGACTTGACTAAAGAAGTAAGAAGGTCACCGTACGATTCAGTTCTTTTTGAGTTCTCCTTTCCAAGTAAGTGTCTTTCAAAATTTCCCGCCAGAGATTTCTCTGTGCCACCACGCAACATTTCGTCAAAGTTTAGAGCAAGACCTCTGTTGAGAGCCCAAAACGGTCCTTCATATCTCTCTCTTTCTGATTCCTGTTTGGCTTTCTCTTTTAAGAGATGTTCAGACGCAATACTTCCAAACGCCATCAGTTTGTGAGCGAACTGTGACGGGACCTGCTCTGGAGCAATTTCTCGAGATTCCCGCGAAACCAGTCTTTCGCCCACAAGATTGGGTTGTGCTTCTAGCCGTCGTGGCTTTTCTACTGCAGAGTCAAAAATAGTTTGTCACTACATTGCCCCAATATTAACATTTCAACGTTGATAATTACTTAACAAAGCTAGCATCAGGCCTTACAGTGGTCAGTGGCGTGAGCACATGCCTTCTAGCGTCGAAGCATGGCGAAAGATCAGGTTACACCGAACATTCTCCTTTGGCACATTCTCGCCTTCTATTTACCTGCGATCAGGTGTTATTTCTATGTTTATTTTGTTTTCTGAAAACAGACGGAGGGCATTATCGCAGGCTAGCATTCTCTAAGCTCTTCAGCAGCTAAATGACTGGTTCAGTGATACATCAATAATAGTCAAAAAGGCTTTGCTACTTAATTTAACTTATTCTCGGCCCCAGAGTAGATATCCTTTTGGCTAGAGCCTTGGAATGAGAGCTCTAGCTGGTTGTGAAACAGGAACCGCGATTCCTTAGTTTCCGGTTTTTAGCGCAGCCTCAAAAAATTTGAAACAATAACGGTTAACAACTAAAATGAACAGCTTTAGCGCTTACGCGTTATCCTGGAACCAACCAGAGCCTTCGATCTGTGGCGCTGACCAAAAGGAGCGCAGCTCTGGAGACGAGAATAAACTTAAATTAACTTTAAAAGAAATTGTGCGGAAGTGAAACTTTCTTTATTTACACCGGGTCACAGTGTTTATGCCAGAGGAGAGGAAACGATAATTCGCTGTAAAGGGTTGTAGGCATCCCTGCACACCTTACGGGCAATGTTTATGAATGCACGTCTATTTTGCTGATGATTTTACAGTAACATTTACTCGTACCTATTTCATTAGAAATCGTCGACTCTGTCCCAGGCCGTAATCTTGGAGATTTTGCACGGTCGACAAGGCTGTTCTGAGCACTTACAATGCGTGTCTCGTTACTTTGATGAGGTGACGATCTTCCCGCAGAATTTATCTCCTGGGTGCGTGATTTTTCCAAGCTCGACAGAGTAACGGCAGCGGAAACTGTCTTTGGAGAGACGCTGTTACGATCTGCTTCAAGTGTTCCAGCGGAAGCGGTTGTTACTGGCGTTGTGTGGTTTACTGAGGAGCGTTCCCTGCGAAAGTTAGCCTGTGGTCCTGGGAATTGAAACTGCGAAAGGCGATCTAGGGACAAGTACTCTTCCAGCTGTTTGGCCATCTGTTCCTGAATATAAATCAGCAAATTAAACAATTAATTAATGAGAGATGGCAGTATAGTTTCGAAACGATTTTGAGCAGACGTTTGCTAACGTTTCTAAAAAGAAGCAACTGAAAAAAGAAAAATTACACCAACCAAACAGTTGCGTTTGACTTGAGAAAATCGAGGGAGCGTAGCAAATCAACGATCGTGTCTGACGGTTCATAATTCATAAGTTTTGATTTTTACATTTTGATTTTTAACTTCCAGAAATGATTGAGGTGTAACTTCTCCTAATTATCTCCAATACATTTTCTAACAGATAGGTGATGAGAATAGGTGAATTTATCAGCCAGATGATTCCATATTGATATAACCCCAGATTCTCCTAACTAATGTATAATAAAATGTAAAGCAGCAAGAAAGGAGAATTACTAATCAGATCTTGAAGTTAAAGGGTTTAAGGTATAATTACCTGGGTAACAAGTTTAGCTTGAACAGCTTTTTGTTTTTCAGTGAGGTTTTGATGGACTTCTTTCATTCGGCGGCTGTCAATCACCGGCTTTTCCTCACGCTGATTGGTTGTCTCCTTCTTTTCAACAATCTCGCTGTCGCGCGGAGAAGTTGTCACATGCTGTGTCCTCTCTTGTGGCGCGAGTGGTTCCACCTTCGGTCTCGTCCCAGTTTCCTTGGGTTGACTTCCCGAGGATTCTTGCTGAATTTCTCGTGATTTCGGTTGCTGCTCTGTAGACGTAACGTCTTGCATCTCCTCCTTGATAAAGAACATAATAAAATAATTTGAATCACATGATCTTGGTGCATTTTGCTTAAATTATCTTTAAAAAAATGCACATTTTTGTAAATGTTTTCACAGTATTAAAACTACCCGAGCTTTTTATTTCGATCTCTGGCCTGGGATCCAGGACCTTGGGACAGGGACCCAATATCAATATGAACCTGCAGCCTATTCAGGAAACTGTTAGTTAGGCTTAGCTATGGCTTTAGTTCATTCTTTTATCTGGCCATCAATGGCAGATCTCATTACACTGAAAGGCTTACGCAGAACTCAGTCTCCCGGTGTTTTCGAAAAAAAAAACGATAAAAAAAAAACGCCAACAGGCATACCCCGTTCAAACCCCTTCTGCGCGCGAGAAGTGATAAGAATCTTTTCATCTCCGAGCTAGCCAGACAGCGTGCATACAGCACTACCCACTTCTGATAAACCAAACCAACATATGTAGGCGATATAATAAAGAAAATAAACGTTTACTGATACCTTCCGCTTTTGCTCAAGACGTTTGTCACCAAAGAAAAAGGGATGAGGAGCCAAAGGAAACGGGGCACCTTGTTTACCCATCAAGAACTCTTGCTTGCTTTGTTCAAGAAGTTGTTTGTGCTGCTCTTGTTGCATCCTTTGGTAGAACTGTTGCCATTGGGGATCGTCCAACGCTCCGGGCATTCCCCACATGGCAGCAACCCTTGGATCCATCATCGGGTTCATAAACGCGTTCTCGGCCGCAACTTGAAACATAAACAAAAACAAACACTCTCAAACAATGACAAAACCTCGAATAGTCGTGGTACTTACATGCATGCAATAAGCTCTGAATTTGAGAAATGAGCGAGGCGAGAGGTCACGCGATGCGCGTAACCTCTGGAGATTTCTAAATTTAAAGCTTGCTCGCAGTATGTAGTAATAATAATAATAATAATAATAATAATAACGATTTCTATAGCGCCATATCCGTAGGCTCATGGCGCCTTACAACTGAATGTTCCAAATAGAAAATTTTGTAGGTTAAAAATTTACATCAATAATAGAACACAAATATATAAAAATACAATTTAAAAATTCTTATCTAAAACTCAAAATTAAAAATACAAGTGAAGATTAAAAACTGAAATTCTTATCGCAATATTTACACTATATACATTATTCTAACAGAAGTTTAATTAAAATGTACTCCTAGTATCTGAAGGGGTAAAATATCTGAAAGGATTCACACACTCCACACAGTTTACTTGCATGATACTTTCCACATTTTAAACTTCAAGTCGTACTCACTATAGAGTAAAAAGATAAATAAACGTTTATCCGTCATCGTCTCCAGCTAAAGTCTCCAGGGACCTGTTTCCGAAAATACTCCATAATTCTCGGGCCGGGAAAGCTGCTATAGTTTACATTCAAGATCGAGGTTTCAACAGTGTTCCAGATTCAGTGAAACCTGTATTAAGCGGACGCACTCGGGGAATGCTGAAGTGTCCGCTAAATACAGGGTGTCCGCCTAATACAGGTTTCGATAGATAACGTCATGAGGTGTCAAATGCCATTCAAATCAGTGAACAGTGGAAACGTTTAGAATACTCCCAGAGACTAAGACGATATGCGTTTGCAATCATTTCTTTACCAAAGTGAACCAAAATATCATAGTACCATAAACATAGATTGCAACTCAAATTTGAAGAAATCAGATGAGTGAAACAAGCTCTATACAAACAAAACGAAATACAAAACAATACTGTACTGTGCAACTAATCAAATAAGCTCGTCAAGTCACGTTTTTTAATGTAAAAATCGAAACATTTGTGGGTGGCAGTTCGAAGCAATCTTTCGTATTTCCGGTGTCTGGCATGTTGGGTGATGGAATTTAATTACAAGCGTCCGTTTAATTCAGGTTGGCAACAATAGAAATGACCATTTCGGGTACTTTTTAGGTGTCCGCGTCCGCTTAATAGAGGTGTCCGCTTAATAAAGGTTTCATTTTTAGTAAATGAGGGAAATAAATTTGGGGACTTCGGCTACTGTCCGCTTAACAGAAGGTGTCCGCTTAATACAGGTTTCACTGTAATATGATAAAAATATCAGTTAATAAAACAAAATGGACTGGTTTGTTAGCTAGGGCCTGAGATTTTATTCCTTAGATTTGGATTTGAATATTTATTTGATTACGGGGACTTTCGAGAAACGGCCCCAGTTTTCTAGCATTCTGGGACATCCTTTCTAGGTTGCATGAGATGTTTATCGAAGACGATTGATAATGACTCACCCATCTGGATGTAAGCTTCAGGCGGGAGCTGCGGGAGCATCATAATTTGGCCTGTCATGGGATCAGTGGCAAAGCCACCCGGTGGAAAAATCCCTTGCGAGGGGGTCTCCATCATATGAGGACGATACATGGCACCGTAAAACGCTGGATCGAGAAGCAAGAGGGGCGCTTCGGAGAGACCTTGCGGAGCTGGTAATAGCTGTCCAAAGTAGGGCGAAGGAAACGCTCCGCCGTCCATCCTAAGAAACTGAGCAGGACCAGAATTTCCTAGCTCTTCCATCCTTGATTCTGTACTAGAATCTCGCGAATGACCCTCACTGCCGTCGCTAGGAATTCTTCTACTTTGAAGACTGGCTCCAAATGGCATTCCGACGTTGTTTGATGCGGTCATGTGTCTTTTGTCAGCGGTGCCACTTCTTTGCTCAGATAAGGGAGACGAAAGACGACGCTGCCGTACAGCGCCGGCCGCAGGAGACGCAGTTCTTCTGTCGGACGATTGAGCAACTCGAAGTTGTGCTCGTTTATCTGGGGAGACTGTCTCCCTCGTTACTCGTCTGTGTCCATCGTCATTCTCATCCGAACTTATTTCTTCAGCGTCAACACTCCGCTTGCCATTTTCAAACTTTCCTGTGAGCGCTTTCGGTTTTGCTTCGTCTCGTCTCGGCAGACTTCGCCATTCTTCGTTCCTTTTCGAGTCATCCTCTTTTGTAATAAACGAATGACTACCCTCTACGCTTCTGGGAAAAGAGTTTACTTCAGTCCTTTTCAATCCGTTTTTCTCCATTTCTTGTTCCCGCCTCTCGTATTTGTCAAGTGTTACGTTTGGCGGAATGGAAACTTCACTGTCATTAACCACAGCTCGATCAACAAATCTCTTTTGTTCTACACTACCACCTAAAGGAAACCCACTGGGGACGTGCTTATAAAACGGAAAAGCGCCCAAAGGCGTGCTGTTATTGTTGCGGTCATTGTTCTTCCTGCCGTCGCTCACAGACGATAGTTCTCGAGAATCAGATTTTCGCTCGGAGTTCTCTTGGTACAAGGCTTGTTCTCTAGAACGCAGGGGTTCGACAATTCTCGCACGATCTTCCTTTCCTTTATCATTGCGCGCAGATTTAAGCTCCGAATGTGGCAAGCCTTGACCCCTTCCATCGTAATTACTATAACCATTACTGAAAGCCCTGTTGTGTTCTGTCTTTGAAGGTTTTGACATCTCCGGTTTTGGATATTTTTGGCCTCCTTCTCGCCTCTCCACCGACACTCGGAAGGGGCCGTCTTTCCATTGGACAATAACGTTCCCCAGATTACCCTTAGCATCTTCGGTCTTGCTGTTGTAACTAACGTATTCACCAACAACAGATTTCTCATTTCTACCCACGAGAGGCTGATTTCTCTGATAATCCTCTTGCCTAACGCTTGGAGTAATTTTAGTGCCTGCGAGATCCGATTCCTTCCTTAAATTCACCGGCACAGTCCCGAACTTGTTTGCTGCTACAGTTTTAACTTGAGACTGTTCAGATGAGTTTATACCTTCGCGTGAAGTATCGCGAGAGAGGTCTCTGAAATCCGTATCTTCAGTGTCTTTCTTGCCGAATCCTTTGTCAGCACCCACTGCACGCAAGTGGGAAGCGAGAGGACTACAGTGAGGAAATCGCTCCCATGGTTGTGGGTTAAAGTTTCTGGCGACATGCACTTTTGAAGCCGATTCGTAACCAGCTGTTTTATTCAAATCACGATCCTCTCGAGGGTATTGTTTAGTTCTCCAATTATCTTCCGTCTTGTCTCCCTGAGGTGGTTTACCGGGGCCGTTTGCAGTCCAAGGCAAAACACCGCTGTGACCCATTACAGACGGCGTAGAGGAAATGGGGTTCGTGGAATAAACGTAATTTTGTCTCTTCGCGGCGAATGAAGGAGAGTGTCTATGTTCAACGTCAGCGGAGTACGATGAGGTCAAATGAGAGGCGTTACTAATGCGCGGAGCGATAGCGATAGGTGTGAGCTTTGGCATGGTCGATGGCACATTTGAATGTGTTGAGCTGGATGAGGACCTTGGCGGAAGAGAGCTGTGATAAGGAAAAAGCGTAGGTGGTTCGTTTGCAGGGTACGGGGAGGAACGAGCCTCTGATGAAATAATGCTTTTATCGTGTGAAGAGAACGAGCCATTCTCAGATGTCCAAGAAGACAACCCGTTAGTGGGTCTTTTAATGCCAGAAGATTCAGCTCCTAAATGTTCAATTGATTTCGATTTTGATGACTTTTCGCGAGTCCAGTCGAAGTCATTTACCTTAGGCTGTTTGTCGTGCTGAGCATCCCGCAATGAATGTTCACGCAACTGCACGTCACGTAACGACGAGTCACGCGGAGGTAACACTTTCTTCCCATCGACCGAGCTTCCAAGTTCACTTCCGGTATCGTTATCAGGATACTTGATGTGCATATTAGAGCCTTGAGAGTCGGTTACATTTCTTTTATCCGGATCGCTGGGCTTCCTTACAGGATCCTGCTTGTCTGTTACTGTTTTTATAACGCTTTCCGTACGCATGGGTTCTTTTGAGGATCGGCTAGTTGACTCGGTGGATCTGTGAGGAGTAAAAGAGTTATAAAAATTAAGATCAACAAAGTCACATAACCCAAACTAAATGACATCGCTTACCACAGGTCATCCATAATGATAATAATTATAATCAAAATACATTGTACTCGCTTTCTGTCTACTCATTGGGTAGGAGCCTACAGTTAATTTTGGAAATCAGGGCAACCTACAGACTTATTGGTCATCTGCTAGCAGATTAGTGACCAATCTCTAGGCTGCGCGCACAATGCATGATTTTCAAGAGCAATATCAAACTGTGTTCCGTTCGATGCGGGTGTGTTTGTCCTTATTTTCTTGAAAACAATGTATAACAAAACAAGTGTTAGATTCGGTTTTTGTAATATTGTGTAACACTTACCTTGACCTTGATTATTCTGGATATCACAAAAACCTTATCCAATAACTGTTTATTATTGTTGTTGTTTCAATGCATGGTTAAGTAATGCTTAATATATACATTTATAAACTAACTCAGATAGTACGAGCGTTCTGATTGGTTAAAAACCTATGGTTTATTGTACCGGTAAACTCATAGAAAACTTAAAGTTATTTTATAAAAGCAATAGACCACACTTTCTATGGGGCCCGGCGTAATTAACCACTTGGGATGTTGGAGGAACACTCGCAAAACTTGTAAATCACTTGCCTTCGGCTCGTGATTTACAAGCTTTTCTCGTGTTCTCCCAACATCCCGCGCGGGTTATCACGCCGGTAAACCCATAGAAAGTGCGGTCTATTGCTTAAATATTGACTATTTTTGGAGAGTAAAAAATTGGCTATCAAAGGAAGGAAACGCGGTCAGCTACGATAATTCAAACTAATAACATCTGCTTGTTTGTGAACATTCATTTTCTGTAAAATTGCTGCTAGCCTTCATAAACCAAAAAACATTAACACTAGAACAATGAAAGAATAAACAAACGTGCTTTCGAGCATGGAAAGTCTACAAATTTTCCCATTGAGCGTCCCTAGGGGGAGAGTAATAATTTTTTCAAAACGCATCAATCTATTTTAAGCTAAGATCCGAAGACAAATTACCGCATTTAGCGATGAATTTTCTGATCTACGATTCAAATTGAGGAATCACCTCCCACGAGTTTTCTGAAATGGTGGAAAATTCGACACTGAATATTTCTCAAATTTTTGTTGAAAGTAGAACTGATAGTCGTTTTAAGAGTTAGGTTGTTAACCTTTTAATCCATTGATCCCCGATACCATTCCAGCTGGCAGACGTTTAATTACATAACATTAAAATTTCACCATAAGAAAAATCACCAATCAATATATAATTGTGTCACCGCGACCGAATGGCGATGTTTGGCGGATTAGGTTTATATCTAAATTACCGCTCCTCCGTTCGACGCTGAATTTTTTTATCTACAGCTAAAAAAGGCATAAAAAATTGTACACTTTTGTCACGAACAGTATTACAATATACAAATCATTATTTTCGGATGTCTAATAGTCCTTGTTAGCTATGATTCAAAAGACAAGTAGTGGCATCTTGATTCTGCAGGAGTCGTTGTACTCCGTGGGAAAATAAATAAGGGCATTATAGGACTTATTAAAACAGCAGTAACCATGCATTCACATCACTACAGTAAACTCTTTATACGAACCTTCATTATAAGAACATTGAGGAAGAGAAAGGAGGGAAAATTAAGAACATCCTAAGAACGTAGCTCAAGCTTAAATGCCAGTTAAGAACACCAGTTTCAAGAAAAAAAAAATAAAGAGACATAACTATAAGCAATGTAGTAAATGCTTGGTATGCACTGATGCCTCTTCCGCCGTGTGAGATAAAAGTCATGCAGGCCTGTCAACCACATGTTTACAACCTTTAATTTGAGAACATCTTGAAAACGTTTTGAGGTTCAAATCTTCCCAAAAATAAGAACGATCACTGAGTTTTTGCTCAGCCTCAGCGCAAAGAAGTCGTTCATAAGAGAATGTAGAGTGAAAAGCGACACCGTATTGAACAAGCGGTGAAGACCTTAAGATCTCTCAATCAACGCTTTTAGAAAACAATGCGTTAATGAGAACACTAATTTTCCAGTATTTTGCAAGCAAGAAATGTATTTAAAATTTTTTTGTGCGTTCTCGAGTTTTAGCTTTTATATATTGAAAGAATAAAAAACCCTGAATTTTATTCGTTACTTCATGATGCTAACCTACAACACCGAGTCACCCAAGACGTGACTTTACTTTTCCTGAGGAAAAGTGAAACATAGAATTGAACAGTTTTCGGGCCTGACCCTACGGATACGTGAATCCCTAGGGTGAGGGATACATAACCCTAGGGATGCTAGACTTGGCACCGTTCATGATTATTCACATGATATTTTACTGTACTGACCTTACGTGAGTGGACGCAGTACTTGTTTTGTCTGACGCTGTTGTTTCTTCACTATTTTTGACTCGTGGACCCTGTCCGTAGCTGGCAGCGTAGTTTTGAAAGCTCATTACCGGGCTGCCGTAAGGGTAGAAATTTAGGCTCCGAGGGTCCATTCCAGGAGGAGCAATCATGCCATAGGGAAGAGCCATGCTGAGAGCTGCAACAGAGAAGCGGAAAGTTTAGCCTGCGAGAACTGGCGTCTGCTCTCAAGCGCGAGTAGCACGCGGGGAATCCTCTTACGAATTACACGTGAGACCCGTACCCTCGTCCCGCGCGGCCCAGATGGATCGCAGATCTCAAAAAGCGTATTTCAGCAACGTACCGGGGAAAATTCGGCCTTAAAATCCTCAGTGGTACGTTATAACAACAAAACAAAAAGTTGTCGAGTTTGTCCTCCTCTAGCACCTAAAGCTGGTGTAATCGACCCTTCAAGTAAAATAACAATTTTTGAAAACTTTCACGAAAATCGACCACATCAAGAGGTCCCATTATGGCTCTTGACCACATCCATGTTTGTTATGGATCGAAATACTGTGATTATCCCTACCTATCGAAACATCCCTAGGCGCGACAGGAGCTCAGAGAGAGGCGGCTGTATTCGCCTGTCATCGCCACGCCAGCTTCGAGAGTTCGCCGTGAGCATTACTAGGGTTTCATAGTTCTTCATTTTCCAAAACGTAGTGTAGATCGACTTTTCAAATCGCAATTTTACTGAGCTTCTTACTGCACTGAGCGGAATTGTACTTATTATTGTACAGCCGCCCCCTCTCCTCCCCTCAAACAAAATCGGCCCCTCTTTCCGACTATTTTAGGGGATGGGGTAGGGGATCTACAGAGGCTACTGTGCTAGGATTGGTCTGGGCCTTGTAGGCGTCTATAAGGCGGAATGAAAGGTTAACGAATGGGGAACTAAACAAATGGTCTCTTGACATTCATGTCAGATGTCTTAGAACCCCGCACCAAGGCGACATGAAGTTTGAGATTTCCGTTTTTCTGAGATGGAATGTCGCGAAACGATTGAAGATCAGGAACACAAGACAGAACGACAGTGAAACTGTTAATTGTCTTGCCAACCCGATCGTT